ATATAAAAATCAAAAGAATCCATAAAGAATTGTTTCCTGAAGAGTGAGCAAAAGTTGCACTATAGCTATATTTTTGTGGGCGTATAAAAATGCAATATATCTAACTTGTTGGGGTTTTATCCTGTGAAAAGTAAAAATGAAAAGGGCAAATTTGCTGATTTTAAATTTCTTCATACATAATTAAACAAAACAATCACGCAAAAAATAAACACTAAATTAAGTCACAATTTTTACAGTGTCTTAAGCCTTGTATGATATATATAAAATGTTTAAAATAGGATACAGGAAATGTTTGCTATGCATAAATTTCACTTATTTGATAACTATAATATTAAGGAAAATAATATTGGATATAGTTATTAGATACAGTTCGGCGGGCATTAACTTATATTGTGCAGTAAATTAAGAGCTAATTTGTACAAAAACGACAAAACCTGTGTCATATAACTGCATTTAGATCAATGGCGCACATCAATTGATAAACCTTAAGATATACCGATGGTGGCTGAAATCAAGCTACTGGTGTATAAGAAAACAAATATCTGAAGTGAAACTAGGTGAACTCAACACTTGGTTGACTTTGACAGAAGTTATAGTTATACTATTCATTTATACAGATATTTTGAATAAATATTTATTTGTCCGTCATATGTTATTTAAATGACTATAAGTTACATCAGGATTTCTATGACAGAGCTATGGAGATCAATATAGTACTTTCTGGCAAGTTAAATCTCTAAATGATCTTAGCGCTCGGATTTCCTAGAAACAGTCCTTAAAGTTCAGACCTGATCTGACCTGATACGCTCCTAACTAGGTGTCCCCGATGTTTCCTAGCTTCATGGCCTCATATCTATTAATAAATGATAATGCCAGAATAAGAAAGATGAAAAAATAAAAATGAAACTGTGAAAAACAAAAGCTTTTAAAAAAAAATTCTATTCAAAATATATGCTACTGTGTCAGAAACAACAATAAATATGTGATTGTTGATCTCCTAATGTAAATGCTATAAAATTTGTTTAAATAGGCTTAATTAAAAAAAGAGAGTACTAATTGTTTATTTAGCAATTTGATGTAGTTTTGGAGATGCATGGTAATTTCACACATTGCAGACACATGAGCAATAACCACTAAAGAATAAGGGAAGTAGATGGTGAAGGGACACACACTGTCTATATATTTGACTATGTTTTAATAGGCTAGTCAGACAGTAGTACAGTCCAGTAACCTCCAGTGACCACTGCATTTGCATGTTTTGATAAACATAGGTCTCTACAACGTCAAACTGAAGAATTTTTCTTGTCGTTTTGAAGCCACGTCAAATTTACAAAAATTTCAGTTATTACCAAATTTCCATGTAATCCCAAGCTCTGTAATCGGAATTCGAAGTGTCGTCTGCTACAATATATTCCAATGAATGTAATCACGTGACAAAATAGTGGATTCCGTGTCAGGCTGTCAGCAGAAAAATTCTATGGAACACAATATTCTTCTGTTGTTTCAATGACTTTTAGCAATAAATTCTCTGACGTTTTATTTATCTTATTTTGTCAGTCACTATTTTGTTTTAAATCATTGGTCTTTGAAGGAATTGCCATTAGTTATAAAGAAATATTCTAGTTATTATGAAATAATTAAAATTGGTTTGTTTCAATTTTCTCACTTTGACCTATATTTCATGAGTAACCAACTTGACAATGGCAGCAAAATGCGTCTCCTATTTTCGTGTACAATGTTTGATCTATAAATAAGTTGAGCAAAACACGTTGTATGGATACCGGGTGATATAATTAACTTTTCTTTGTATTTATCTTTAATATCAATTCATTTTAACTAGTGACAATTCCTTTAAAGAACCATGATTTAAAAAAAAAAAATAGTGACTGACAAAATAAGATACGTAGCGTGATTTATTGCTAAAAGTCCTTGAAACAACATAAGAAGATGGCTCACGTTGTGTTCCATAAAATTTTTCTGCTGACACGGAATCCGCTAGTTGATCATGTGACGTCGTTCAATGGACTTCATTCTAGCAGACGACATTTGGAGTTCCGATTACAGCTAGGGATTATAAGTAAATTCGGCTAATAAAAAATTGTGATATTAGGTAATAACTGAAATCCGACATTTTGTATTTGTCAAAGTATACATTGATACATTTTACCTTGCTTGAAACTACTGGACTCATTATACAGTGGTGTAACCTATTTTCGTGGATATAAGGATTCAGGACCGAATTTCGACAAAGTTAAAAAAATGGAAACAAATTTTTTATGTCTTAGATGTTTCCTCAGATATTCTATAAAATAATTAAAATTGGTTTGTTTCTTTATGAATCTCATACTTTAACCCATATTTCATGAGCAACCAAATTGGCAACGGCGGCAGAATGCGTCACCTATTTTCGTGTACAATGTTTGATCTATAAATAAGTTGAAATAAACATGGTGTATGGATACCGGGTGGAATAATTAACTTCTCTTAGTATTTATCTTTAATATCAATTCATTATAACTAGTGAAAATTCCTTCAAAGAACCACGATTTAAAAAAAAAAAAAGTGACTGTCAAAATAAGATACGTAGCGTGATTTATTGCTAAAAGGTCACACATGTAAATTATTAATCCTTTCCGAAAATCCACGAAAAATAGGTTAGCATGAAATTAGGCTACTTGACTGTAGTATTCCTTTAATTTTCATTTTGACGAAATTCGGTGTTGAATCCTTTTAAATTAAGTTAAGTTAGGTTATACCACTATAGTATTCATACGAATTACAAAGTGTATACAAAACTAAGCGTCTAAGTGTAGGTAATTTTAATGTTATATACGCTTAAGACTAAAATTTATCTGGTTAAAACTAAATAATGTAACATTAACCATCATTGTTTGCTCCCTCTTTTATAATTTACATCCTGTTTTTATTTACATTTTCACTTCCTTACTCTCCTATCTCCTGTAATAGAGGTAGTAAAGGCTTCAAAGAGACACAGACTACAACTCTTTTTGAAATAAAATGACTTCGCCGCAAATAAGTTTTGTTATTCCCTCTGACAGAGATAAAACTTGATTATATCGTACATGAATTCTGTCATTCACTGTTGGGTTTATGTTTCATATTCTTATAGGTACACAGTTAAATAAATCAGTTCTGATCGTTTTGATTATGTGCTTTGACTGTTGTTGCGACTTGTGGTCATTAGGCACACCATTTAAAGACATGTTTGTTCCTAGATATATCTTCTATTATAGGTCTAGTTTTTGAGGAATATTGTGCAAATTGTTACTTGATGCAAAGAGGTTTTAAGTTTTGTTTCATTTTTTTAACCTCTACGTGTTATTGTATGACATTTGCAAATTATTGTTGCATTTTGTGATCAGAGGCAAAACAAGACAAGTCACGAGTCTGCACACTGCATATTACTTGGCGTCAATACTGAAGGTATTACCAAGTCAAGTGTTAGACCATTCAAAATTTAGTTCAACCTTGGACTCTGTTTAAATACTACCATCCTCTCTGACAACTGAATTGTTTTCTGTATTGAATTTTGGCAATCATTACTACGTGATCATGAATTGAATATCAATTACAAAACACTACTGAGTCTTAGATTGTCTTTCTTTGACTTTTTTTGAGTTGACGAAAATGCCAACCACAGGAAAAGTTATCATTTCCTAGCATGATTTTACAGAGAAGAATTTTCAGTCCGAAAAGTTGGTCAGTTGGAAGACAGTCTGAGACAAATGGCCTAAAGTTGAAAACTTTATTTTGAATATTTATGCATGGAGAGAAAAAATTCAATTCAAAGCTCAATGTAGTCAGACACAATGTAATTATCTATTTGGTGGTAGCCTAGTTACTAGTAGTACCGGTAAGCCCTATCAATATCCGTCCTTTACTATTGCTCGTAAACTAGAAGGTACAACAGAGTTTGAGGAAATTTGATGAAATTGTTTATTGTCGATGAATCCTAATTATCCTGAATAATTCAGAAAATATTTGATGGGAGTATTTGTCTTTGTTTTGTAAAACATTGCGTTTAATTTTCAGCTTTTAAAAGCTCTTGAAGGTACATTTATTGACTGATTTGGACAAAACATAGTGAAATTGTTATTGTCATACAAGAGTCGACTTGAGTTAAATTCATAAACTGTTTAATTTGAATTATTGACCCCTTTCTTCTAAACTCGTTCAATCTTTAGCTTGTAGGCCTAACCACACCACAAAGCCCAAATCTTGATAGATTGTGATGAAATGTGGTGAGATTGTTTATTATGACCCAAGAATTCCCTAAGGATGAACTCCAAAACCACAAGAGTTATATTTCACAATGTTACCGTTCTGCCAAATATCTAGGAATTACCGGTATGTCTTATTGTTCTTATTTTTTTTTACAGAAATTTATGGGAAGGCGAAACAGTGGAAGTTTGAGGATGGGTTTACGTGGTAAACCTGCTTTAATTTTGTTGTGTTGTGTTTTACTGGTGATATTCGCAGTGTTATATTTTCGGAAACCTTCATCAGCTTTAAAATATAAGCTGAATCAATATGCTGAGCACCATGGACACAAAAATTCATTCAATATGGGAAGTAATAAAAATTTTGATCCTGAAAAATTTGTAAGAAATGGTAAAGCAGATAAATTGAATGCCAATATTGATCAATCCTCAAACAACAAAATTTATGTTGAAAAAAACAAAGCAAGGAAAGGTATTGAATCATCTGAAAGACAGCATTTAGATTTAGACATAAACAATAAAATAAAACAAAATAATATCAAGAATGAAAATGAAAGGTATTTTAATAAACCCATTAGAAATAAACCAAATTTGAATGATGAAAATAAATTGAATGATGTTAGAAATGTTCAAGAGCAGTTTGGAAAAGCTGTAAGAAAGTTTGATAAAATCTCTGGTCCTGGAAATCAAGATACCAGAAATGAAATTGAAAGACTTTACCATGAACCTTATGCAAATTCACCAGTTGATTTTGAAAATATGAAACGAATTGTTCATATTGATCTTAAAGGTGCAGCTCCTAAATTTGATTATTTTAAACAGATATTTCCAGTATTAAAGGAACTAGGTGCCACTGGTTTATTGGTAGAATATGAAGATATGTTTCCTTATGAAGGAAAGTTGAGTTCAGTTCCAGCAGGAAATGCTTTAACCAAAACAAACTTGTTAGAGATTATAAAACTTGCAAATGGATTGGAACTCGAAATTATTCCTCTTATACAAACATTTGGTCACATGGAATTTATATTAAAACTTAATGAGTTTTCTAACTTACGAGAATCTGCTGATACTCCACAAGTTATTGCCCCTGGTCTTGAGGATACGTATGGATTGATTCAAACTCTGATAGATCAAATTATCACAAACCATCCAACCAGTAGATATATTCATCTTGGTTGTGATGAAGTTTATGAACTAGGTAGAGGACGATCAGGAGAGTATATGAAAAAGAATAATTTATCAAGATCTGATATGTTTTTTGAACATGTGAGCAAAAATGTAAGGTATCTTAAACAGAAATATCCACAGATTACTCCTATTATTTGGGATGATGAATTCCGTCACGAGTCTCTAGAAATGATAAAAGTAAGTTACAATTATTTTTTATTGTTTATATCATTTAACAGCCTATTTATTGCTGGTTTTGGAACAAACATTTTTGTTGTTATAATCTTTAATGTCATTCTTGTGTAATTCCCTGCAGAAAGAAAATGATAACTGAAAATACTTTTTGAAAAGTAGATTTGCATGAAGTAATAAAAATACTCAAAATATTTTTCAGAAATTTGGTTTAGGAAATGTACTGGAACCAATGATATGGTCTTACCAACCAAATCCAAGAAAGAAATTTTCAGATGATATATGGGAGAAATATGGGAAAGCTTTTAAAAATGTGTGGGCTGCGTCATCATTTAAAGGATCTACAGGCAGTTCACAGTATTATACCAACATAACTCATCATATGAGTAATCATCTGGCCTGGATTGACGTTATTTTAGAGGCCAAGAAAATTGCACCTAAGATGACATTTCGTGGTGTTACTTTGACTGGATGGCAACGTTATGATCATTTTGCTACTCTGTGTGAATTATTACCATCTGCTTTTCCATCGTTAAGTTTATGTCTGACAACTATAAAGAGAGGTGGATTTACCCAAACTGATCATGAACATGTTCAAAATACATTGAAATGTTCAGACAAAGAATTAACAAAGTGCACATTTCCAGGCAATGATTTATATGCATTAATATTAGATTTCACAGAGAGGGAGAATTTTTATAAGAATAATATTGGACTACAGAGTCGTTTAAACGGTTGGTTGACTGATTATAATATTAAACATGGATTTGGAAGTCCTGGTCAGTTAAAAGTTCTCGAGAAAAAAATAAATCAAACAATCGCTAACTATACATCTATAAGACCAAAGCTAGAAGAAGTAATATTAAGATATTATGATCGATACACAGCAGATGAGTGGATTTCAGTTCATGTTGATCAACCACTGAAATTTTTATCTGAAAAATATAGTGAAGCTGTAAAACTTATCAAAGTTAAAATATTTTCAAAGCGTCCTTTGGTATCTAAATACAGTCAAATCAATAATCAACCAAAGTTAGATAATACCTTCCCCAACCTGGGTATAAAAAAGAATCCAAATTCAATCATGCCATCCAATTTTGAAACTAACAGAAATCCAAAATCTAAACAGTCCTTTGAATTTAATCCTGGATCACTTAAAACTGGCTTGAAAGAGAAGCCTATTTATGGAAGACAAAATGAGCTAACAGGTAATAAGTTTAACAGTCAAAATATTCCAAAGCAACTAAATTACAATATTCCAGATAGTAATTATAGACGAAATAGAAATAGAATAGTATAGGTCAAATCTCCAGTTTTTATTGAATTAGATGTCTGAGGGAACAATAAATCTCAGTTTTGATTGAAATAATTTTCTGCAAAATTGTATTGCTAATTTGAAGAATTCTTTCTATATCACTAAGAAATCATTCAATGGAGTTATTATTAAGTATTATATTAATTAAATTTTATATATATTTTTAACATGTAAAAATGATTTCATTTAATCAGTAATGTATTGTTATTTATTATTAACAAATTATATATTATGTATATGTACATAACAAAACTAGAAATCTTGGTTGAAAATAATTTTATAAGAGCAATTTGTTAATAATAATACTAGATTGTGGTACCAACATTTAAGATGTGCTTTAATTGGTCTTGGCTTCCTTTCTTAGTTATAATGTTGTCACCATTTTGATTGATTACGTTGTTTGATAATTCCTGAATTTTAGATAGCAATTATAATAGACGTAGCTCTCCCATTTCAATAACATTCAAATTTGTTACCATGTCATCCATATTCTAAATGAAAAATATTTAACATTCATGAAGAATTCATAAAAAACCCAAAGAGAATACAATTTTACAGCACCATAGTCAGTATTTAGTTTAAGTTTTAAGAAGTAGATAAGACTTAATAATTTTTCATGTTGTGGTAAATATTTACTTTGTACATTCCTAAGTATAATTTTTTTTGTTATTGTCAATATTTTGTATTAATTCATATTTTTGAACTTACAAATGTTATATGTAATCAGAATAATGAAAAAGACATATTTTAGATTTGCTGAATTTGATCTCGGCTTCTTCACTATTACATATGATCTTAGATAGCATGAGTCCTTTATAAATGAAGACTTAAGAGTCACTTGACCTGCAAGTGTGACTCTAACAGCTCACTGTGAAGATGCTATCTATGGTCATGGAAATTTTTCTTGGTTTTATTTACTGGTGTTTTCAAATTGTACTACCAACTTATTTTGATGAAATAAATTGTTTAAATGTTCTTTATTCTTGATTTTTATTTTGAGATTTCCTTCGAAGCGAACACAAGATACACAATACAAATCAAGACAGCAATTTTGAAATGGAGATTTATTTCCATGGTGTCCTTTAGGTGTATTAATCGTTTCAGCATGGTCCAGTCCCGTCTGTGGAGACTGGGCCCCAGCAAGTGAGAATTTATCCCCAGCAAAGTCTTCAGTTCAGCAGATATTGATTCATTTTTAGTGTTCTTGCAAAAAATAAAAATTGTCAGAAATGATTTCTATTGGGGCCTTTAATTCTTGTAATTTTCTGAGTACAGGGGCTGGCATGGTCTTTATAAGTGGCAGTTACCACAGGGAAAATGAGAGATAAATAGAATTCTCTTTTTTTGTATGGGAAAATACCTGCTTCTTTACCAGCATCCATCACTCTTGCTGAACATCAGGTCCAAGTTTCAATGGTTAAAAGATGAATTCATTCCCCACTGAATACATTTTAAACATCAATTTAGTTGGAAAGAAATTTGGGTGAACCTTTGAGAATGTCAGTTTTGAGAAATCAGATTCCGATATTTTTGGAACTCTCAGGATTGTACAAGTAATAATCATAGTGCCAACAGTAATCTAAATAAATTTTTCAAACCAATTAAATTTGGAGAAAATTGTAATAGTAATAGACGCTTGAATAACAGAAGTTTTCATGTCAATTTTTAAAAGTGATAATGCATAATATGTGACAAATTGATTAAAAGATATAAAAGCCCTGCCACTTGTGGTATGGAAGAGCTGATAATTGTAATGAGAATTAGTGTCAGTACTTGCCAATCATGTCATGGTATGACACGCATTATAAGAACTAGGATACAATGTGTATTGCAATATTGGCTAAGAATTAAGATAGCTAACATACGCCCACTGGCAGCTGTCAGAAATGATTAAACAGTCTTTAGTGACTACAGTATGAATTTTCTCATATTAAAGAAATTTTAATAGTTTGAATTCAATGATATATATATTTACTGCCATTTATTTATACTGACAAATTCCACCAAATTTTTAAAGATAGCTTGCCGGGCAAGGTTATATACGCCCACTGGCAGCTTTGATGTTGAATAAAAATATTTAGCAGTACAGTAACAATCCCCAGTATGAAATATTCAACTTTCAGTCATACACTTTTTTTGAACTATTTAGGGCGATACTGAATAATATTGAGTATGAGTTATTGCCTTTGTTCTTGAAAATGTGTTCAATTTTTAGCTCGTGAAAACTCTCGAAGGCAAATATTCAATCTTCAGCACAGGACTGAATAATAAAACCAAGTTTTGTCAAAATCCAGCAAGAATCATGCCTTTTAGTGTTTAAGAGCTAAATTTGAAAGCGTTTTCAAGAACAAGGGCAATAACTCATACTAAATATTTTTCAATTCTTCTGATTTTCAATAGGGTTTATCCTTGCATGATTGCGAACATTCACATCAAGTTTCATCAAAACCCATCAAGAATTGTGCCTTGTAGAATGTTAATGAGCTAAAAATTGAACGCATTTTCAAGAACAAGGGCAATAACTCGTACTAATTATTTTTTGATTTTACTAATTTTCAATAGGGTTCATCCTTGGATGATTACTAACACTTACATCAAGTTTCATCAAAATCCGTCAAGAATTGCACCTTCTAGAGTGTTTACGAGCATTTCAAGAACAAGGGCAATAACTCATACTAAATATTTTTCGATTCTTCTCATCCTTGGGTGATTACAAACAATCATACCAAGTTTCATCAAAATCCATCATGAATTGGGCCTTCTAGAGTGTTTACAAGCTAAAATTGAACGCGTTTTTATTAAAGGGTACACATCCCACACTTTTAGAAATATTCACATTTTCTACGCACTGTTTTAATTTGTTTTCCCTTAATAAATTTCCCAAGGTCCTATTCCTGCGTCCTGCCACAATGATTTTCCTTGTTCTTAATAAGTCTGTCATTCTGTAGCTTGTCCTTAAAATATCTGCGTCTTTGGCCATTTTTATACACCCACATGAAATGGGGGGCCTATATTGCCGTCACCCATGTCCGTCCGTCCACAATTGCTCGTAAACACTCTACAAGACAGATTCTTGACGGATTTTGACAAAACTTGGTGTGAATGTTTGTAATCACCCAAGGATGAACCTTATTGAAAATCAGAAGAATTGAAAAATATAGCTTTTGACAAAACTTGGTTTTATTATTCAGTCCCGCGCTGAAGATTGAATAATTGCCTTCTAGAGTTTCACGAGCTAAAAATTGAACACTTTTTCAAGAACAAGGGCAACAACTCATACTCAATATTATTCAGTATCACCCTAAAGAGTTCAAAAGAAGTGTATGACTGAAGGCTGAATATTTCATACTGATGATTGTTACTGTACTGCTAAATATCTTTATTCAAAATCAAAGCTGCCAGTGGGCGTATATTACCTTGCCTGGCAAGCTATCTCGTGTAGATTTGGTTGTCGTGGGTCATAGGTGTTAGTCCATGGAATAATCTTCATTTTCTTTTCACCTTCTTCTGCTTTTTAAGTGTGGGATGTGTACCTTGTAATAAACTCAAGTGCAAAACTTGTGAAAAGATGAACACAACTAACACAATCACCAATAGACACTCAAAATCATTTTATATCAAAGACTCTTTAAATTGTCAGAGTAATTTTGTTATATATTGCCTTACTTGTGAATTATGTAAATTTCTGTACATTGGCCAGACAATAACCCCCTTCAATATTAGACATAACAAACATAGAAGCAACATTAAATTGAAAAAGGTCCATAAAGCTCCTCATATTGCCCCCCATTTTAACCAACCAGGTCATGATTATAAATGCACACTTCTTGAGAAAATTCCAAATGAAAGCAAAAGCAAATTAGACAGTGTAGAAACTCTGTGGATTCATAGACTTGACTCTGTATGGCCGTATGGATTGAATGAACTCAAACCAGGAGGTTTCAAAATTGCTAAATATTAGGGTATCTTTGAACTTTTAATGATTTTTTTTACTATGTATATTTTCAGATAACAGAATAATATTTAATAATAAATGAAAGATCATAAATGTTTGCATTATATAGGGTTGCCTAACCATTATTTGTTCAGGGAGAGGAGACCCATGTCAGACCTTCATAGAGAAGTCAAACTACAAAATCATTCTCATTAAAACTTTGCCATGCTGTCTAATTTCTTTATAAATATATGACTGAATAACACAAGTCATTCACAATAAAAAAAATTTATTTGGATGAAACTATACATTGACTTCTTGATGGAATATTACAATAAAATAAACAAGCCTGAATCTAAAATATTACAGATATTTTCTGTAAACAGTGATAAAATCTGAATAGTCGACATAATTTATAATTTCATTAAAAACGTGATAGCTCAATTCTTAACCAGTGTCAATATATACATGTACTCCATACATTTAGCACTATACAACAGGCCCCATTTCATAAATCATCTGAGAATCAAAATTTATCTCCAGTATAAACATCAAATTTCAAAATGTGAAATTTTTATCAGAAGATTTTGTTTAATAGGAGCCAGAGCAACATAAAAATTCTACTTCATGAATCGTCTTTCTTGCACTTATTTTTCTGACAGTATATTGACAGGTTATTTCCATCATGTACATTATTCACAACTATAAGATATAACAATATTGGACAAATTCAAGAATTCACTACTGAAATCTGAATAGCTCAATTGGTAAAAAAACTGACAGCATACAGATACTTAATGATATCATGTATGTGATCAAAGTGACTCATTACGTCAGTTTGTGAAGTCTATTGTCAGTTTGTGAAGTTATTTTGTTGTGCGTCTAGATGGTTCAGATGCTGTGGGTGGTGGAGGAACACCTTTACGTTCTAAATCTTCTATATAAAACATTAAGATCTTTGTCCTTTCATTTTCATCACAGGCTAAATCAAGATAGCGTTTATCATTCTGTAAAATATAATACACTGTTGGTTTTAGTATCCATTGAACAGTAGTTGACACAGAACAGTAAGACAAATACAAAATAAAAATTGTACCAATTTAGCCATTTACAATTAATGAGCTCAAGCTCAGTGCTGTGTTCATCTGTTGAAATTCTACATTCTAAATTATCACCTCTAATACTTACCTCTAATATAGTTATAATATCTTTTAAATGACTTTCATTTTCTTCAATCATTTTCTTCGACCTAAATATTACATATTTATTATTTTATTTTGAAAGTCACTTAGTATTTAAATTTTGCCCTTTTTCATTTAAATATAATTTCAATCTTCTATGAAATCGAACACATTTAAAATCCTTTTTATGTTTAAGTAGCAAATGATTGGTAATTATGCCTTATGGCTAATTTATCTGTTGGATTATAATGTTACTACAAGATCATTTATAGTCACTTACTTGTATGTTATAAGTTTATTTTCTTTTAAACATTCCCTGAAATTAGCTTTAGCTTGAACAAACTTCTCATGTTGATATTCTAAAAATTCCTTCTCTCTTTTCTGAAAAAAAGATTACAAAATATTAATTTTAGTTGGCGAGTGCATGTTTAAACCTTGAACAGGGCCTTTCTTTGGACATCCCATCAGTAAATAAAAATTGTTGTTCAGAGATATTATTGTGAAAATTATTATCTTTGTATGTTGATAAGGGTTTAGAGATCAGAAAGAATAAGATAAAGTCATAGCTGGAGTTTTTTTAAAAACCAGTCAGATAGAAAAATATGTAATACATGTATTCTAGTTAGTGATTCTATTTAGTGATTCTTATTTCTAAACATTGCCATCTTTCCATCATCACACATTATAATATTGCACTTTATTGATATATGTATATATGGGTCATAGACCTAAATACTGTTAATAAAGATTATTATCATCCCATTGTGAAAGGGTGTGATCAATGAAATGGAACTACTTATCTTAGTTATTTATATAAAATATGTGTAGAAAATCAGGTTAGAGTACTACTTTTCTTCCACAGACTGGGCTAATGAAGACAGCAACACCCTGCAGTCTTCAATGAGAGAACTTTTATCATATACAGTTCCTTTTATAAATAAGGTAAGATTATGGGTTGTCAGAAAAAGAAGTAATCATATACACACCCTATCACTAGATGAAAATTTACTATATCTTGGATCTTCTTTAATGGATTTCTTGATGTCTTTCCATGTAGCATCTAAACTTATCTTAAAAAGAGGAAAATACATATTCATCAATATCTCATTCAAAGCAATTATTTCACATTTTTCACCAAATACAGTAATTTTTTTAAACAGAAAGAAAAAGAAATGTGATGAAAGAAAAAAACTTACATTTGTTTCATCTAATAATTTATGGAACATTTCTTTATTTCTCTTTGTTAAATTCTCGACATGTTCTTCAAATAACTTTTCTTTCTCACTCCTATCCATAGTATCAGCCAAATCCCATCTATGATCTTTACGTAACTGTTTGCGTGTTTCACGCCATGTTGATTCTGAATTCCGCACCTAAAATGTATACCATTTGTTTTAGTTTATCATATACAGTATACTCTGTGTAATCTGACATACACTGTCTGTAACTGCCTTCCACCATTTTTGTAGTTTGTTTCTTCCCTTGATGAAGTCAAAACTTTTTTGACGAAATGTTGGGTAATGGTATTTGATGTCAAGTTTTATTATCTATTACACCAAGTTCAGTATACATCAAATGAAGCGATGTACTACTAGTGGTAGTCTTCTGTGATTGGTTATTGCCTGCTTTTTCTTTTTGAAATCACATTTCCATGCGGGCATATGAAAATGATAGCTTGATATTTGTGATAAAACACGCAACAACAATTCCAAAGTTCCATGTTTCCCTAATATACAGTGTAATAAATGACACAAATACCTCGAATAAGCCAATTGATCTAAAAGCAATGACCTTGAAGCGAGGTCATTGGAGGTAATTAATCAGCAGAATTGGTATCAGCTATCTTTTGTTTTGTTTGGATTCTCAATAATACGATTATCTACCGGTAATTGACAATAAGTGATTAAGATAATTAGATGTCGAATTATACAGATTTTTATGAGTGTCGGGACCACTGATTAGTGTCGTAATTCGTAATACACAGTATGTCAGAGTACTCAGAGTTTTTTGAACTGACATAAGAAGGATATCACAGAGTACACTGTATGTCAGCCCAAATATATATATGGTATAGCAAGTAGTCTTTACAGCTAAAAATTCTGTAACATGTTGTAAGCATAATTATGCAGTAATTCTTCATAAATGTAACTGATTGTTAAATATCAGAAGCAAAAGCACCACCCCATTCAGACAAAAGCTTTAGAAGCCATTATAATGTAGATTTCATACATTAAATGATCAAAGAAATCTTACCAAATCAGCCAAAAGAGCATTAAAATGTTGAATAGCCTCATCTTTTTTATGTTGTTCTCTTCCCTTGTCTCTATCACGTAGAGAAGATGAAAGTGATTCTTGTACTTCCTCTTCACGTTTTCTTATACTTTCTCTTATTCTCTCTTGTTTTTGTTTTTCACGTCTACCATCATCATCAGAGTCCTACATAATAATAATTATATTTTATTTTTAATGACTGTCCAAGAATCATTTCTTTTCTAAAAATCTTTTTGTGAACAAGACAAAATATTTCCACATATAAAAGTTTTAATATAAATCTATAAAAAAAATCACAGATATTTTACAGACTTATTGGATTGTGTTATCTAGGAATTGTGCCATCGCACAGTATATATTTTTTAGACATAGCAGTAATTTTCATCCTTCAATTTCATCAAGGTAGTAAATGGCAACAAACATAAATAACAGGCAAGACAGGGATTGTAAAACTGTAACTAAGAAATAGAAACATTACTTATTATACTCACATCATCTAATGTTTTAACATAATCTTTAAACCAATCTTCTCTACGTGAACTACTATCAACAGCATCATATCTTGGATCAGAATTGATCTTTTTCTTTATTTCACTCCACCTTGATTTACGATCTATTTCAGATGTTTCTTTTAATAGTTTGATAAAATCTGACTTCAACTGCAATGAGATAGTAAAAGGAGCAATGAAAAGAATGAAAACTATTAGTTAATATGGGGTGCTGAAAGAAAAGGTTATTTAAGATATATGTAAGATTGTATTTGATAATAAAACTGTCAACTAATTACATTTCCATATTGATATAATAAAATCTACATATTGAATAGTGATTTGAAACATTTGAAAAATAATGATATAATTCAATTTAAGTCGAAATGAAACAAATTTGACAAACTGTTAATGAAAAATCTAAGATTAACAAATATTGCATGTAAATCATTAATACATTTAACTTTTCCATATTATATAAAGACTTTATTTCTTTGAAAACTGAATTGTGAAAGGTTATAAATTAATCTTAGATTTGACACAAACTACAAATCATTCACCAGAAGAAAACTAAAATGGATGTTAAGAGCCTAAGGGCTGTCTACTAAGTCTCATGATTGTGATTCTCTCATGACGAAGGGCAAATGTCATGTCTCAGTGTAATAGAGTAAATAACTTCTAAAATATAAAATACAAGGCAAAAAAAGCACATCAGCAAAACGTGATAAATGTATCAAGTCATTATTTCAACAACCATAATGACAATGGCAGATCAATTCTAAATCTTATGATTGGTTTTCATAATTTTGAATCTTAATTACACCCAGTAATCATAGGATGTTCATCTAAAAACCACCCAATACCACTAATCTTGTTTTATAGAGTCCACATAATCACAATGATAATTTCTATATTTATTTTCTTTATAACCATTTTTGTCACAGAAATTTGTCTTAATGTGCTACTTTTGCCTTTTTTCAAAACAGGAAATGTAGATAATATACCAGGCAATGAGCCATAAAACATCAAATGTTCTGCTACAAGGTATACGCAGCTCAGTTCCACAATGCATTGCAACTGATTCTCTCATATCATGTGATGTCACTTCCTTTTTACTTGATGGTGTAACTTGTGTTGTAATTCTTTTCAGCTTAACAAACTTTAGACAATTATCATTAAAATAAAATTTTATCAAATTGCTTTTAAACATGGCTTCTGGACTTCTACACTAGTATCAGCACTAATGAAAATATTGATAAATGGAATATATTTTAAGCAAAATTTTAGCCCAGAAACCAAGTTCTCATAGAAAAATGTCATCAGTATTTGAGAAAAAAAAATGGGAAAGTTTGAAAAAAATTACTTTTGTATTTAAATTTGTAAAATTACTTTTAACTTTAGATGTTTAGCACAAATTTTGAAAATTGTTATACAAAGATAAATATTCTGCTTGAAAAAAAGAAGTGAATAAGCTGAAACATATTGTATTAGTGAATACAAGGGCAGACAATGGTATCAATTTGCTCAAATTATGGCTCCACAGAAAACTTGTCTCATTTAGCATTTGAGGTAAGTCATACAATATCAAATAAACTGGAAAAAAATTGATTAATGAGTCAATTCATTCAGAAATATTTAACACATAATAATCATCATTGCAGTACACATAATTGCCCACATCAAGAACATAAATTTTTATGAAATATTTTAAGATATCAATTTCAAAATTTCTGTCAAATATCTTCACATACTTACTGAGAACTGTGAAAAATAAAATATCTATGAGAAAACACAGGTCAAGAGAGACTTGATTTTTAAAAATATTTATCAATAATCAAGTTATTTATTTTTATTTTCAAAGTTACATTTTTATAAGAATTCAAAGACAAACAGTGAAATAGAGATACATTTGATTGATGTACGACAATAAAAAGTCAAAAATTACTTTCCTCTTGACCCGTAGAACATGATTTTGAGGATTCAATCTCAATAAAAGAAAGTAATTAAAAGTAATCAAGATAATTATTTGTTAAAATCTTACTGATCATTAATGATGACTGTTTCTTCTATGAAATTATTAATACCCCATTTACTCTTTACATGTAACCCCTCAGAAATTATATTTACTATATTGAATCCTCATAATCCAATTGGACAATAGGGGGTTGGTTATGATCAGGTCAATACCTACCTTTTCCTTTTGATTTGACTTTTCCTCTTTTTCCTTCCTGCGTAAATCTGAACAATAATCACTAAATAAAGATTCTCTTTCTCTCATCTTCTCTATGGATTTAAAACGATCATCCTTACCATATTTTGAAGCAAAATCACTAAAAGATGACCTGCAATAGGCAGAAAATACTCATAAATACAGTCTGTGAAATTGATGTTGAAACAATATTCAGCACAGTTATTTACATATATATATACAGTGGAGCCCCGTTTATCCGCACATTCCCGTTCCCGATAAAATCGTGCGGTTTAACGAAAATCCGGATACTTGAAACATGCCATTACTTAACTAGAGTTATATCCTTTCCTATAAGGACTATAAATGTCACGTACGCAACACGTGGTAGACATGTTTGTACTTTATAGGGCCAATATGTTGTGAAGAACCCTGATTGTTTATAATTTTTCATTTTATTTCACTATCATAGTATAGTAATAACAATATCATTCCTTAAAATTAGGATTCGTTAATATATAAACATAAATTACCGCTCCGTATCTTCGTAGCGATAATGTTTGATGTGTTCCATAGCCATGATGGAATTCGGGTATGACTGAACGAAAAATTGAATTCAAGTATTACTGAACGAAAGATAGCATACACGTGATCATTAAAATAAAGGCATATTTATTAAACACCGATCAACAAGGCATCATGAATAATACTAAAACTTCCTAGTGCTAACGTTTGATGTGTTCCGTATAAATAATAGAATTCAGGTATGACATTGAAGTATAACTGAACGATTAGTGATATTCAGAAATGATTGAACGAAAGATAGCTTACACGTGATAAGATTAATTGCTTAATTGGATTTATTAAACACCAATCACGCGACATCATAAATAACGCTAATCCGGAAGCCAGTTAGAAGAACTCACAGTAACATGCGACCGGATGATGAATACTAATTACTGTCTATAGAACCGGAAACCGGTGCACTGGATTAACGGTTACTTTTACATAGTAAATATTCTGTTCCTAGTAAAAAGCGTGCAGATATCGGGGATTCCGGATTATTGGCAACCGAATAAACGTGGCTCCACTGTATAGGCTTAATTGTGGACATGTTGGATTACCTATCTGAACAAATACCATATTACTATAGGATATTACTATTTTACTAATTGTGATCATAACCCTTTTGAAATAAGATTTTGATATTGAGGAAAATATGCCAGAAATATAAGCAACTTGCAGGAATTGCAGCCACACAAATTTTTTATTTATGAGAATCTAAATGACCTACTTTCCGTGCAGCTTAGCTTCTTCAAGAAGTTGTCGGAAAGCATCTTTCTTTTCCCGTAGTTTTCGGTGTTTTTCTCTGCGTTCTTCTTCAGCCCTCTCCTTGACATATTGTTCAAATACTTGTTTTCTTTCCTTAGATGTCAACAGTAGATATCTAGCATCAAATACAATCTTGTGCAGCTCTTTCTCCCATGTTGAAAACGCTGAAACCTGCAAGATGAGATGTGTTTCATAGATATAAGACATCTACCATCTTTTAGGATTATATTTCCAACCTATATATTGTTGATACTAGATTGTAATCACTGTAAAGAATTTTTGATTAAATGTTATATATACTGTTCCATTGAGAAGATTTTCATTGATAATGCAGTTTTTACACAGAAAATATTTATAAATTCTTAACTTACCTCCTTCTCTGCTAACATATCACGGAACTGTTTCATTCTTATTTCTAATGGTACAATAGCACGTTGTCTGGCAGCTTGTACTTCTGCTTCTATAGCAGCTTCTTTCCCAGCATCAATTTGTTTAGGTGTGTCTTTCTTATCTTCTTTAACAGACTCTTCTTTTTCCAATCTGACAAGAAATAAAGATTGATTATAATTTATCATTGCAATTGCAGTAATCAATGGGTAATTTGTGTAATTTATGACAGATCTATCAAATAAAGAAATTGAAACTAAGATTATGCATATACTTACTTTTTCTTCTTGGCTTGTGGTTCTTCATCATTTGAAGAACTAGGTTTCTTCTCAGCTAAAATTTCAAAAGTAGAAACAAATTACTAACAAAAACTCAATTTTAGTACAATGAAACTGAACTTCTTAACTGATATTAATGAGAACTGGTACTTTTTTAATCACTAGGAGACAATGCTTGATCTATAAATACCTTGTTTTGGTTCTGGTTCATCTCTTATCAATGTATCAACATCAGCTCTGCCTAATAAATCATCAGGTCTTTCCCAACGTGATGTTCTACTGCTGGGGTTATAGAAAAACACTTTACCATCTCCAGTTTTTACTACACACCTTGAATTCAAATACATTCAGTAAATTAAATTGTCAAGCACCATTAACCAGATATCATAATGAAAGAGATCTATTTGAAATTAACTAATATAAAAAAGCTTTAATAATACATTTCTAAGAAACTCTAGCTGAAAGACTTGTGTACTTCTGTCCTACTTACCATGGTGTACCAGGTACTGGTGTACTTGATACAGGTCGAGCTTTATCTTGAGCTTTCTGTTCTTCAGTCTTCTGATCTTCTTCACCTTTATCCTGCAATCAAAATAATATTTACTTTCATTTATCAAATCGATCACAATCAATATAATATTTATTTTCATTTTTCACTACAAACCTATCCTAAATAATATAATCTTCATAATGATCATGTCAATCTAAGAACTTTATATCCAGAATTTTATAGAGCACAATGCAATTTTTCAGTAAATTTCAGAATAACACTCTGACTGTATATTTGAGACAAAGAAACCAGGGACCTTATTCTCGATAACTTTAGAAAGATTTTAAGAAAGACAGTAGGCCTATTTTAGTGATTGACCAATCAGATGATTGAAACGCTAAAATCATCATAAGCTAAATGTTTCAGAATTAGCCCCAGGTTAACAACACAAGATAGTGGACCACAGCCATATATACGCCCACCACAGCATGCAGATGGTAAATATTCAAGATTTTGGGGCAAGGGTCAAAAATAGCTCAAATTCAAACTTGATCTTCGTTTTATGAATATGTATACACATACCGAATTTCATTTAATTCCGTCAAGAAATCTAGTTTTTAGAGCGTTTACAAGCAAATTTTGACGGACGTACGGACGGACAGGGGTGCCGACAATATAAGTCCACATAGAGATACGTCATCCTTACACAGTACACATCACTGATCTTCAACACCATTTACCAACAACAATAAAAACTTTCAATAATCAAGTATTACATTAATTAACATCACATTACTTACATCTTCTTTAGTATCTGATTTGTCATCTGTGTCCATTTTGTCATCTAGGTCACCAGCTATATTCTTTATATTAGCTTCAGCTTTTATAGCAGCAGCTTGAGCTTGAACCTGGGCTTGAACTTGAGCTTGTATCTGAGACTGAATCTGGGCTATTTTAGCTGAAACATGAAGATATAACATTTTGAACAATACATCGAAGTTGTTTGAGTTTAAGATAGAAGATAGCTTGCCAGGCAAGGTAACAAACACCCACTATCAGCTGTTAGAGATGATAAAGTCTTTAATAAAGAATTTTCAAATAATCTTAAAGACATTTATACGTCAAGGCAAAACCTGAAACAATTCAATTCATCATCAAATTAAAACATGAACAATGTCTCATCGATGTACACACAAAGGCAATAACTTGACTGAGATCTCATCAATATATACATTATATGTACATGCATAACTAGTTTCACTGAGATTGGATAAAAACTGTAGTCTCTATCTTGCCTGTGAGCCAAATTTGAAGCATTTTATCCGTTTTGACCGAGATATACATGTATACCAAGTTTCATCAAGATCAGATAAATCTCATATAATGCCTACAAACCAAATTTGAAATGTTTTTACAAAGTAAAGGGCAATATCTCTGCAACTGTTCATCCGATTATTACCAATTTCTAACTTGACCGAGATCTCATCAATATATACATGTATATAAGCCTCTATCGTACTTACAAGAAATGTGAAAACGGACAGACCGGCAGATGGCAATATTTACATCTACATTTCCAAATATTTGACTTATATGAATACAAACACGAACCTTCCCAATCAAGTAATGCTTGAGGTTTCTCCCAGGTTGACTCCATTGAACGTGAATTATAATAATAGCTTCTACCATCAGTATTTTTATGTTCTGTCCATTCAGACACTTCAGTAGGTTTAGGTGGCAACTATAAAGAATAATAATTTATTATTCACAATACATTATGTTATCTTTCCAAAATTAATAACATCACTTGTCTATGATATATCATATATACATAACTATCAACTACTTAAAGTGTATGGAAAGTCAATTATGGGCCACTTGACACCTACCGTGAATGTTTCTATATATCCTATTGTATCCAATTCCAATCTTATAATCGATAATAAAGATACATGTATAAGTAAAACAAAGACGATTTGTGTTTAATTCCCGTTTGTTTACAAAGACAGTCCGCCATTACGTCGTATTAATCACATGACCACATGACGTCATTTTTGGAACCATCGTTAACCTCATAACCTTGATAGGCTATGTTAATGTTTACAATATTTAGATCAAAATGCCGAAGCTCGATGTCGCGCAATTTTGCAGCTATACCTGTAAAGAAAACAGTTAACACGGCTTCCCAAAAGACGCTGGTATGGGTCAAATTCGTACAATTGAAAAGGGCTGACTTCAAGGCGCCGACTGAAAACTCCCAGTCTGTTATTCATTTCACTTCAAAACTCTTTATTTTTATAGAAAATATTCTAATTGGAAAGATGACATAGCCAGAAAAGTGTTTTAAAATTCGATTCGCATATGAGACCCCATAGAAATATATTATAGGTTTCTATTTTTAATTAATACTTAAAAAAATCGGCATTTAAACTTAGCCAAAAAGATGAAATATCAATTTTCCAACATAAAACGGTGGTAATGGCGGCCATTTTGGAACACCTTTGAAGCGTAACAAAAGCGAAAAATGAAGTTGATTTCATGAAATTTCAGTTTATATCAAACACTAAACTCATAAATGATTTAAAACTATCATTTCTTAATTTAAAGTATATTTTGAGTGGGTAATTTCATATTACTTCAATTATTTGATCAGAAGGTCTACTTTCACTTTATCATTAATTGGTAGGCCTATCCGATGTGTGTGTTTTACCAATTCAGACTTGGGAATGTAGGAACTCATGATGTTATGAAAATTACCTATTGTCTTGAAAATAAATTATAATTAAGTTACATGTATTATAAAATAGTTTTAATCTTATAATGACTTGTTCCGTATATCACTTATAAAATGAGTGAAGAATTCATACAAATAACGACCATATTTCTCCACTATTTACCCCATTCATCATGGAATATCTCAAAGACTAATCAAGATATTTTAATTCTGTAAAGTTTTTCATCGAGAGGAGATATGAATATTTTGAAGCGGGCGATTTTTAATACAAAATGAACGCTACGAACCAGTCAATATAAATTTATTTCCCAATCGATCTCCATTTTCATGAATTTCGGCAGTGTCATCGTCCTGGTTTGGCCTTTCACTGTCAGTCACCCCTTCCCGAGGACGCCTAACTGGCTCGAACTGGTAGTCCACCACACCCCCAAACATTTCGTATTCATCTTCTTCGTCTTCAGAATGAGATGAACTGTGAGTGCTTGACGAATCGTTTTCATTATAATACATAACGCCCGCCACATTCTTTATCTGTCAGTGTAGCGTTCCCAGAAACCACCGCGTCAAGTCCATAATTTACGTCACGCATACATTAGCATACATTCGGATATTTCTGGAATGTGCTCGTGGTTTTCCGTACAAATCATCGTTTTTCCATCAAAATATCACATACAAAAGTACACCATATTAAGACTTTCCATACTCTTTAAACAAAATTCACAGAACTTGAGAAAAATTGAAACAGCTATAATTTAAGTGCTTTAGTTTACATACAAGAACACTTAAAACAAACCTGAGTTGATGGTGGTTTCTGAACAGCAACAGCCTCATTAGTTGCCTGTCCGTTGACACCAGGTGTCACTACCTGTCCAGGCATGGGTCCACCCATCATTCCAGCGTTAAATGGTGGCATCATACCAGGATTAAAATTAGGTGGCACACCTGGAATTTAAAAAGAAAAATGCAAATTAAAAAAAAAATTCATAACTTAAGGTTTGGTACATTAAGATGTCACAGATTCTCTTATCTAGTAACTTTAAGAAAAAAGCATATTATAGAGATGCATACAGAAAGTATAAGGTACAGAGAAAAAGACTTAAAAACTCCTACCAGCCATATTAGGGAGAACCTGAGGTTGCGATGTAACAGGTGTATCTGTAGGTCCTGTCACAGCACCAGATGTAGGTCCTGAACTTATTGTAGCTGGTGTCGCATTTCCACCGCCTGCATTATTCTGTTGTGCTGCTGTTGCCATTGCTTCTACTTCTGTCTGTGTAATAATTTTAGCATTTTCTGGCATTGTCCATGAAGATTCTCGTGTTCTAGCATTATAGTAGTAAGTCTGAAAAATAAATAAATCAAATCAAGTAAATGTTAGCTATATTCTAAAAAATATCTATTAAATAATACAATAAAACACATCTTTAGATTGACAATTTAACCTTCTATACACCAGAACAATACAGCTAGCTGTCAAATTTAACAGAGCATGAAACATAACATATCTTTGCTGAATATTGCTATATATAACATAAGAAATTTACACTAACCTTTCCATCACCAGACTTTGTTTCCACCCATAGTTCTTGTTCAGATCCTCCAGGGCCAGCTGGACCAAAACCAGGTGGCGGCATGCCAAAATTAGGTGGAAATCCAGGAGGGGGCATCATTGGGGGTCTCTACAAATAGATTTAAGAATGTTTATCAGTACTCTTTCTTATCCCAAATATTTTTCCTTCAGTTGGGACAATATCATATCATATATTTATAGTACCTAGGTACATATGAAAAATTGATGTATAGTTATATTTAAACCAGGGTTTTTAAAACATTCATCACTGCTTAACTCTTTTACTTACCATTCCTGGTGGAGGCATGCCATGCGGTGGCATTCCAGGAGGTGGACCCATACCAGGAGGTGGCATTCCATTTGGATGAAAGCCTGGTGGAGCCATACCTTGTGGACCCATAGGACCAAAATTGGGATCAAAGGGAGGTCTTCCAAATGGTGGACCTCTTGGGGGACCTCGCATACCTGGTGGAGGGCCACGCATTCCTGAAACAGAATATTCAAATTACATAAATAGCAAATTGGTATCAAAATACATTCATATTAAATGAACTCATGTAAGTATTATAGAGAATTATTGATTTTTGCCAGGACATTCGATTTCCAACTGTCGAGGGATCTTTAATGTGCACAGCCTGTAGCACACGGGGCCTCGGTTTATTGTCCCATCTGAACGACTAGATGCTTTTTCCATGTCAACCCCTCGTAGCTGCATTACTGACAGGGGGGAAACCGGGTTGAAAAATCTGAAGGTATTATCTCGACCTTTGCCGGGATTAAACCCTGGACCTTCAGGTTAGCGAGCAATTATACTAAATTTTAACATGGTTTTAAATGAAATTCACATTATCCTTTTTCAGCATCATAACCCTAAGAATTAAGTTTATATTATATCTATGCACAATCATCAATTATCAGTAGTCTACCATATTTCATTAACAAATAGTCTATTCTTGAGACTCCTTCATTATGGAGAGCCATTTAGTTCATAAAGAATCATTAATTACAACTTTTGTTGTCGTTTAAGTCACATAACATTGACTTAATTTTAAGGCCATTTCCCCTGGAGCATGCACACACCCAATTTCTTATTATAGACCTTGTTGACAAGACAAACAATATTCAGACAGGAGAGATACCAATGAAGATAGAAAAAGAAAATGAAATTCCTAGTTTCCTTATGTATACCTGAAGGTGTTTCATACAGTTATATGAATTCTGAAGACTATTTACATGTATTCAATGCCTAAATCAACCCATTATAATGATGAGTGTCTTAATTTAAGGATGTTAAAATGGTCAAATGGTCGCATATCATCTTTGTTTTTTTTGTGTTACGAACCTCATTCTGGATTCAATATGACTGAGGTGAGAATAAGATTTATTGTCCCATTGGAAATGTCATCTGATATAGTCACTAGTTACCACACAATAGAATGAATCATGCAATTCATACTTTAAAACATAAGCCCACTTATACATCTATTAATATACAAGTCTTCTACATTAACAATATCAGTAACATATTAAACATTGGATTGAGCCATTTATATACAAATAAATCAGACAAGAAGCAGATACAGGCCAATGAAACTTGAAGCTGGTAACCTACCAGGTTGTAAGGAGACATTTTAACCATACTTATACCCTTATAAGAACACCATATCATCTGTACAAACAATGCACACTTGCCTCATGCTCGAAAGCCCTTAAAAGAAAAAACCCACCTGGTGGCGGACCCCTCATACCTGGATGTCCCCTAAATCTTGGACCAGGGCCTCTGAAAGGTGGACCCCTGAAATAAAAAAAAAAAAAATACTTTTACATATCCTTTACATCAGACAACAAATTGGAATTCAGAAAAAAATGAAATGAAATTTTACGTCCTACTTTTCTGAACCATGTGTGCTAATGAAGACGTACAAAAGGGTAAAATTAAGGAAATTTAGCCAGAAGAACGGCATTAGCCTGCTCTTTTTCGATTTCTGGTATACATCTTGACTATTGTCTGCTGCCATTATCGGCCATACTCTTAACAGGATTGAACTTTCAAGTCAAAGTTTTCTAGGAAATTCAGTATTCTTTATGTCGGACAAGTTTCACAGCGACATAACAACAAGAAGGGTGAAACAGCAACAGTGCCGAGGAGGTTAGTAAAATAAAAATGGAATAGTGTAAACTACCTTCTAATCAATGACAATGTCAAACATTGTAATTTGTATGTGACTTTAAATCTTATCTAAAATTTTATCATTGTAAGTTTTACTTTTTATTTGCTCAGCCACAGGCCTTCAATGCCTTTAATAATTGACCGAAAGTTTACCTTGGACCTCTATTCCAATTATTGTAACCACCACGCCCACGGTTGGGCCCACCAAATCGATTCATTTTATGCCCCATTTCCATCATATCGAAAGACCCGTCATAACCATTTCCATCGAATCCCTGCCCATCAAACCCTTGGTTTTCGAAACTTTGATTTTCAAAGCTATCTTCAGACCGATGCGAATCATCCTCTCCATCCCCATCATGGTCAGACTGTTCATGAGAATCTTGAACGTGATCTTCTATCTCCATTTTGTTTTTCTTTCTCTCTCACCACACGCTTACAGTTTCGATTATCAGGTCTAAAATGGAAAAGAGAAGCTACTTAAAGAAGTGGTCCTGATATTAAAGTCTACGCAAAATTTATTATGTAGGATAATAGTTTCGGATTTTCTCTCCATATATAGAGAACAACATCAACAAGAATTTACCTCACATGAATTTTTCTAAAAAAAAAAGTAAAAATAAAGTTAGGCCAAATTTATTTTCCTGCATACGAAATCGAGGAAAGGACGTGACGTAATGTATTTTCAGTGCGTGTAGTCTCGATTGTTTACCTTCTCTCACGCTATAAAAAATTTTGATTTAAAAAACAGTCTGGTTAATCTGGACAATCTTGTTCACGTGATTTTGTGTTATGTTGATGTCAATGACTCAAAAATTATGTTGTATTAAATATAAGAATAAAAAAACTATAGTTATTATGTAATTTATTGAATAACTAGAGTATTAGCGGTAGAACTAATGCCGCGGGGTAACAATATGAATCAACCGCTATCGTCTGTCCTTGACGAGGATGGAAATTCAATATCAGTTGCTCCAGAAGTGACATTTGCTGGTCCAACTAGCAACACTAGCAGCTATCATAATGACTTTAACACCTCTCCAAGATCTCCTACCAGAGGTACTGGAGGAGGAAGTAAAGAAAGCTCGCCTCTTCTCGGTCCCAGGCATGATCATGGTTATGAATTTGCTATGTGGAATAACTTCCCTGAAGATCCACAGTTTGAGGAAGATGTGCGGCAAGCTGAAATCGCTATTGAAGCAAATATATTTCCTGAAAGGATATATCAAGGGTCGAGTGGCAGTTACTTTGTGAAAAATAAAGATAATGTGAGTATAGAAATTGACTTAATTTTAATATGGTATAGATTATGGTTAGATATAGTCAAATTCTGAGATTATTTGGCTTTGAAATTGGCCCAATTTGCACCTCATGCATAGAACAACATATCCACACTTAAGTCCATTAATGTCAACACCTACTTGCGTTTATTTATCTCAAACTTTTAATTGATCGGTGAGAAATGAAAATTACGAAACCTGTCATCAGTGATTTGTTGGCTGTCTCAGGCCACCAGCACTTTGATTGGCTTTCATTAGCTACATATATTTAATCATTATGGATTGCTGGTGGAGTGTGATTAGTAGAAAAAATAACAGTCCATGACATGGACTAATATAGGGAGAGCAATGTTATCTACTTCGGGACATTTCAGTATTGCAAACAATGGATTTTAATGGCCAAAAGTAGAGTTTGGCAATATGAGATTTTTTGTGTATCACGATATAGACAATTCTTTATCATGATAGGTTCAAATATCGCGATACAGAAATTTTCCTGAAATGAATTTGAAATTTTTAATGTGATAAAGTATAAACTGATAATTTGTCATTCTGACAAGATTATGGTCACAGGGTAGCCGATTAAGCTTATGCTTGATATCAAATATATGGTCTTCTATCTATCAATATACAACTTACTTATTGTTACCGATATTGATGATGAAAGACACATTGATATTAAATACGATAGCACAACTTATACAAAATAGTCATATTTTTTACACTTTTCATCATAACATTGTAATTGTTGTAAATCTGCTTTAAAACTATTTTATAGATAAATAAGACAATTTTATTGATAGATACTACTGATATATTTATTATATTGATATATGCACAACATTATATAGATATTTCAAAATATAACTCAGGGTGAACTGTTTAAGAGTTATTGCCCTTAATCTAATCAAAATATGTCAAAACCATCATGGTAATATTGCAATGGAAATTCTGTGTTTATGCTTATTGGTCAACTTTTAGTTTAAAAAAGTATATATATTCCCAAACTAGCCCATATTATGCTCTCAAACATTTTACAAATTTTGAATTGTAAATATTTTACATAAAAGACTTGACACTCAAAGTTGAACCTAAACATTATATAAAGTTTTAACTTTTAACATTAGACTATCACATAAATATTTTTAAAAATGAAGATGTATCAAGTAAATTAGCACATACTTCTAGTTTGATTCAAATTTGACTATGGTAGAGACTTGAGTCATATATGCTTTAGACAAAATCATTGAACTGCATAATTTGATGAATGAAAAGCATTGACATTCTCATAGGATTTGAAATTGGTGAATATAATATATGTAGCAGACTACAGTTCCAATAAACTTTTATAAATTGATATTCTCCAATTCCACATTTTTCATCAAGAGTTTCAGAGTTATTTGTCTTTGACTTCAAGAAATTAAACAAAAGAAAGAATGAGGTATAGATATTGTCAGGTCTAGAATGGGTGTGGTTTACCAAACAAAAAGTGCAACAAAGTATCTCTGCAAAGTCTGAAAAGTCATTGCAGTTTATTTTTATATACAAATGTTTGTGATATAAGTGAAATTCAGTGGAAATAGACATTAAATGTTTTGCACCTATATGATAGTTGTGTCAATTGAAAATGTCTACTATTATATTCAAATTATGAGCAATTAAATATAATTTTCTGTATTTAGATTCAATTTTGGATAAATGTTCAGATGTTTTGATTTTTCATACAGTGAAGTCTATGATATTGATTTTCTGCAAAAATATGCAAGAATTGTGTATAGACTAATTGTGGTATGTTTCTATCATTGACTTGATGATTTTTGAATTGTTCAATAGTGTATAATAGAAATATTGATTAGTAAAGAAATATTAGAACAGGAAGTTATCGACTGAGCATGTGTAGTTGATGGCTGGTGACACATGTTAGTAGGTAGGCTTACATTGAGTATAAACCAGGTGTTATATTTACCTGCCTGAAACGATGACTGACATTTGTGCACTCCTTGTCTTGTGGAGGTCTGTCGAATTTTAATTCTGATTCTAGAAAAGCATACAAAAATATAGTTAACAAGTTTGGATCTAAAAGTTTAATTCTAATGTTGTGTAGAGGATGTATGTTTCTAGTTTCATGATTAACTGTCAGTGAAGATTGACAGGTGTAGTGCAGTTAAAGATGTTTTTGACTGGATTCTCATTGAATAAGTTTTGTATTATTTTGACAAGCTTGATGAAAAGATTGTTTTCTTTCCTCAAAGTATATGATTGTGTTTGGAATTTAGATCAGTTTGTATTTGATGTCTCAGCACAATTTTATTATTGGTAATTATGGTTATAGGATTTCTGGGACATATTATGAAAGTTATATTATCAATTTGTGGTCTGGCTTATTCAAATGGTGAAAATAAGTAAACATTTTATCAGTATAAAACAGGAACATTAGATAAGATATAGAAAAAATCTGATGACTGTGGGTTGGGTGTAGATTACTTTGCTTAACAATGTTTGTAAGTCTTTAATATAGTCAAAAAGTTATTATTAACAAAGTTTATAGTCTTATTACCTATATCTAAATGATGAATATATTATTTTCTGTTTTTATGTAACAGTTGGTATAATAATACTTAATAAACATAATATTGATTTTATAATATACTGTATAGTTGGATTGTGGATGTTCTAGAGTATATTTTATAATAGTTGGATTGTGGATGGTCTAGAGTATATTTTATAATAGTTGGATTGTGGATGTTCTAGAGTATAAAAGGAGGAAAAGCAGAATGCCTCATTAAAAAAAAATTTATTAACTTGCTTGTGTTTTGAATAATATTATTTTATCACCTGAAAAGTTTTAACTAATTTATTTACAAATTGTATGAGTTTTAATTTTCCATTTGACATATAAAGAAATAGAAATATGTTTGGTTGTTTTTTTTTTAACAAGGAAATATTTTGTATGCTTTCATTTCTATTTTTGAATTGATGATGTGTTTTGATCAAGTCAATAGTGACGTGTATTTAAACAAACTTGTTCATGTGACCTGACCTAAAGATGAAGGTTGAACAGTCGATCATACAGTTTAGTTAGTTAACTCTTGTTCAATAAGGATAGTTTCATTGTAAATAGGATTTAAAGTTAAATACTGGTCAGGTAGCTACAATATGTTGTGAATTGTGAGATGTGTTCAGATATTTGTTAAGTTCAAGTTATATTGTGACAGTGATTATAGTAACTGTTTATATTTATTTTTAAGATTAAGAGTTGAATGTTGAAATAGTAGATTTGTAATCACCAGCGAGTAGATGTCAAATGGAGATAAACTTTTGTGAATATTGATAATGGAGTCAGGTGACCCTTCCTCAAATGAACCGATCACTCCAATGTCGGATAAATATGCCTTTGTGCCTAAACATAAACTTAATCGAACTGAAAGCAATGATAGTTATGGTGCAGTATGGGATATCTCAGCTAGTCGTAAAGTCAATGCCTTTCCAGAAGATCCAGATTATGAAAGTGTTGTACATAATGTAGAAAAAGCTATTGCGGTAAAGGATATAAGTCCTGAACTAAGTTCTAAAGGATCTAGTGGTACCTATTTTATTAAAGATACCTCAGGGGTGAGTTCAACTATACTTATTATAATAATATCAGTATATTTGACAGTTGTTTCTTTTGATCTTTTTGAATCAGATTGTTTTTTAAGTTTCTCTCCTTTAAGAATTGACAATACATCTTATGTTCAGTGACTCTTTTAAAGGTTTGGATTTTGAAATCTATGCTATAAGAAATTGTTTACTACATCATTACACATCCATTGTTTATTGTAAAATGAATAAGAGTTGTGTGAAATCTAGCTCAAACTTTCTGTTTTCTTATGTTTAACATTTGATATATGTGTCAGCTACTCAGCTCGGTAAAAATTGAAACTTAAAGTTAATGACGTTTTGTTCACCCGTATCTTCTATTGCACAGTACACTACTCTTTGACTTAAATGTTTTCTGAATTGAATTTGCCAATCTTTTTTTGAATGAATTGAAATATGAACTACAAAATACTACCGAGAATCTTAGATTTTCTTTGTTAAAATGTTAACCACTAGAAAAGTTATCATCTCTAAACATGATTTTACAGAAGGGAATTTTCAGTCCTAAAAGTAGGTCATTTTCACATGAATTTTCTGGGAGGGGGAAGTATGTCTGTTTCAAATGTAAAATCACTGAAACTGATATGGACTTGAAAACATTCAAGACAAATTGTATAAGTTGAATATTTTATTTTTATTTTTTATAAAATGAGAGAAAAATTCAATTCAAAATCCTCAAAAGACTTTCATTCTGCTATGCGCACTTTATTGCAGCTTTGAGAACTCATCTTAGATTGTGGCTTAAAGCTAGAGAAAGATACCTTTCTGAAAATAGAAAATATACTACCGGTACTGGTATATTTTTTTACAATGAAAGTGAAGTATTGGAAATAATTTTGTTGCAGTACAAAAAAGTCATTTTAAATCTAATCAGTACTAAAACAAGACCACTGACCTATATACTTTTTAATCTGATTAAAATACACCAAAATTTCACAGACAAATTATTTGTTAAAGTTTAACTAATAATTTAGTAGTGTGTTGGATAGAATTTGGACTGGGGATTTACCAGTATCACATATATACCGGTATAGGATCAAGTCTTTGTTCAAATCATCATCTACACAATTTTTAGATACTTAAAAAAAATCATTTCAATGATTTGTACTTGCAATCAAAGCTGCAAGGCTATCTTTAAACGTGATTTCCCTCTGTCAGTGATGCAGGTAAGTGGGGCTGACATGGAAAAACCGCAGGATGGGACACTAAACTGAGGCCTCTTGTGCTACAGGATGCGCACTTTAAAGATCCCTCGACAGTTGGAAATCGAAACCGAGCAGGCTATTTTGTGGAGCTTCAATGTGAAGCAAATAAATAGCTCTGTCTTGAAGAGAATATGTTTTTTTAAATGTTGCTGAATCAATATAACAAAATAGTTATTGTGACCTAGATAAGAATATAAATATTAAACTATGGTCGATTTATTAGTTAATGAAATGTTAAATATAATTAATGTCTAGTTAATCATTATATGATCAGTTTAACATAAAATATCAAATAAATTACTGTTGAATATTATTTTTTATCATATTGAAATTGTTTCAAGTGATCTCATTAATATTTAAATACTTTCATAAATGAATCCTAGACTGGGTATATGGAATACTGTAATCAAATGAATGCTGTTGTAACTATTTTGTGTAACAGATTGACTTACAGCCCGATTACATATCTTAGTTGTTTGCTATACTGTGGGGTGTAACCACCTAATCATTTTAAAAAGTGATGACAACTTTTTCCTAAACCTGCATATTTTGGCTGACTAAATAAACAGTTGTTTAAAGAATTTTCTCTAAAATTTTTATTGGGAAAATTGTGTGATCAAAATTCAAGTTTAAACCTTTGTCATCTGTCATGAAAACATAAAACAAAAAACAAACAGGTAAGTTCAAAATTAGAATCTGAACTGCTGTTATAGATTTAAGCAAGATAATTGTCATAGGGCCTATTTATGTTATAATTTCAGAAAACCATTGGTGTATTTAAACCTAAAGATGAAGAGCCTTATGGTCAATTAAATCCAAAATGGACAAAGTGGATGCAGAAACTTTGCTGCCCATGTTGTTTTGGAAGATCTTGTTTAGTTTTAAATCAGGGGTATTTATCAGAGGCTGGTGCCAGCCTTGTTGACCAAAAACTTTTTCTTAATATTGTACCAAAAACAAAAGTAAGTACCTTATAGTTTTTCATGATCAGTCCAGTCAGTTTATGTTTTATGTCATATTCTAAAACTTTAGATGTTTGCTCACTGCTGGTGTGTCACATTCTTCTTGCAAGTTGGATACCATAGAGTTAAAACTATGAAAACCATGACAAAAAGTGGCTATAATTAACAACAATATCCTACATTTGAGTTGATATCTTTTTTACTGGTAATGTTGTGGTTTAATTATTTGTAGGTAGTTAAATTAGCTAGTAAAACATTTAATTATAATGCGTTCGACAGAACAAAGGCTAGTGCCAAGCAAAATCTTTATGAGAATGTACCAGCTGTAGGAAAACATTTTAAACGATTAGGATTACCTCCAAAGGTAAGCTATGGTTTACTAATTAGTTGTTAAATATTGAAAGGCTGAGCATCAACAACAGATGCAAACAATCTACTGTAAAGGTCTGTAGGTTATCTGCATCATATCCCGGTGTTTGGCCATATTTACTGCTAGTATGTCCTTATTGTTATAATAGGCGTTTTTGTTAGCCTAATTGGTACATTTGTAAGAAAGTTTACGTAAACTGATAAGGCTAATCCGATTAGACTTTTTAATGATGGCGGCGCGTGGAAGTTTAATAATGATAATAATCAAAATAGATGACTTTCTTTTGTTGTCAGTGGAGGCAGCCATATTGCCTTATCACCGATTTCAAATTTTGAATTTGTACAATATTGCTATTACAATGGAAATTGCACTAAATCGCATTAGCAAATCAGCCAACAAAAACACCTCTAGTGTGTACACAGTTTACCATGTGAAATGCAAGTTCTATTATGGCCTTAGATGCATGCAGTGAGAGTCAAGATTATCTCATAAAAATGCAAAATTACAGAATAATTAAAGTGGCAATGTAGAAATCAAATTAAAAAGAATTTAAATTTTATGTTCATTCATTGAGGTAGTATTCCTGTAAGCCAGTAGATATCTATATGTTGAAACTTAATATTGAAATCTCCCCATAAAATTGAAAAGTCATTTTGAAGACATTTCTTAAAATATTATTACAGGTGGGATCATTCCAGCTATTTGTCAATGGCTATAAAGATGCTGATTTTTGGTTACGTAGATTTGAAAGTGAAGCTTTACCAGAGTCTACTGCTAGGAAATTTCAGCATTTATTTGAACGATTAGTAGTATTAGATTACATCATTAGAAATACAGGTAAATATATAAATCTAGAATATAGATCTTAACAATATGTAATACTGTCATACTGAGTTTTTTCGTGAAGCATATGTGCATATGAATATTTTTCACAAAATTTGATATATACAATATACTTAACAATTTAACAATGTCAGTTTTTACCACAATGTCATTGCTTAAAAAATTATCATAGTTCACATAATCATTCCAGATAGAGGTAATGATAATTGGTTGATAAAATATGAACCAGCTTGTGCAGACCAGGGAGATGTAAGTTATTCTAATTATCAAACCCGAGTTCATGATGTCATTAATCTGTAGCAAGTTTCTGAAGAACAAAAACAACTTTGAAAATGTCCACAATCAGTTTCAACATAACTATTTTGTCCAGACAGACATACAATATACTGTCAAAGATTAATGATGTATTTTGTTGATGTAGGAGGAATGGTCTATGGTAGAACATCCTGAAATTAGTCTAGCTGCAATTGATAATGGTTTAGCATTTCCTTACAAACATCCTGATGAATGGAGAGCATGTAAGTATTAGTTCTATTCTATTGTCAAGTGATTTAAAAATAATTTCATTATTATATGCTCACATGAAATGTAGACAAGAGATTAAAAGCTTGTACTTTGAATAACCATTATTCTGATTTGGCTGAAATTGAGGTCATTTGAGGACATAATTCAATAATCTAGCTTGTATATATGTCACAATTTCAGATCCATATCATTGGGCATGGCTACCTCAAGCTAAAATTCCATTTTCTGATGAAATTAAAGAACTTGTATTGCCTCAAATTAATGATATGAATTTTGTACAAGATTTATGTGAAGATTTATATGAACTATTTAAAGTAAGTATTTTCTCTCCACATTATGTCTTAATTTACTGTTGGACTTTTTAAGGTAGAGTATGTGGCAACTTCATAAAAGCAAAAATTGTGATTTAATCCTTTCTCCCAGTATTTAACAATGTTTGGGTTTTTTGCAAATTTTCAATTTTGGTTAATTCTTGGACCAGTTGAGGCAGTAATATTTGTTATATGATCATAATTTTGTTATATTTTTCGACAATTTTTTTAAAATGAACCATAGATGTTTTACAGTTCACAAAGAGAAAGTTCAAAATGCATTTGAATATTTGATTTTATGCTTAGATAATGATGTGCTATGATTATAAAGTTATTATTTTAATGTTATAAGTCAAATTAATATACATGTAATACACTATATTTTTTAGACTGATAAAGGGTTTGATAGAGCAACATTTGGTAAACAAATGGCTGTGATGAGAGGACAGGTGAGTTATTTATATACATTCTGTAGGTAATAGGTAACATAATACACTTCTCTTTTTTCATATCATCTGTAGAGTGTTGGTATAAAGTGAACTTTACTGAAAAGTAGGCTATATAGGCTAAAGAGGCCCTCATACCATGGTGATGGGAATAAGAATAGTAGTCATAAGTTTCATGCAACTTTATTTTGTGTTGTTTTTCCACAATATACAACTGGCAATAGATATTGTGTGAGGGCACCTGTACGTACATGTAGTAAAATCTAATAGATATAAAGCTAAATTGTAATAGGACTGGCGTAATTTATGGTCCAATAAATATATTATTAATATTATTATTTAAGAAATAAAATTGTTGCTGAATATTCCTTTTTCTAGATATTAAATCTGTCACAAGCTTTAAAAGATGGTAAATCGCCAGTAGAATTAGTACAGATGCGTGGTGTAACTGTTGAGCGTACTAAAGGAGGGTTTGGTAGAATACGCAGTGATAGTGACACTTTTACACAGAGTGTATCTAGTCGTAACCCATTCTTCTCTTGGTGCTGATATTTATTAATGAACTTAAAATAAAAACAGCTCAATGAATTATGGACTATAAAAAACAGATTTTATGATGGATTTGGTAGACAGAAGACAATTTCATGTCATAAGATATTTGTGGGATAGTTTGCATCTTAGTTTCAGAAAACTACTGCCTGGTTATTCGATCTTGGAAAAAGAGCATTTCAACCAAATTTGTTATTAAGTGCAATAATGTAATTTTCCTGGTGTTAATGTTGTGTAGAATTGGGAATCAAATATTACCATTATCTGACAAATTGTTACAAGAGTATTATATATCTTGAATTTATTTCCATTCCCTGGTCATTGGAAAGAAAGCTTTGTTAGATAATAATAAAAAAAAAACCACTCCATAAACACAAGGTTGTAAACTTATCTTTTTTGCTCTAGAGAATGAATTATATAAGTTCATATGAGAAAGGTAAAGATAAATATAACATCGGGACTAATTTATTAATAAAAGGAAAAAAACAGAAAATTCTAGCTATCATTATTACAATCTTGCCTTGAATTCTAATTAGGCATTGCAAACCTTGTTCAAGTTGTTATAATTTGTATATTGTTATATAAATTATTGTACATGATGTTATATAAATTATTTTACATGATGTTATATAAATTATTGTACACGAACATTCCTGTGATTAAAACCATGATTTCTATGATTCTTGTTCGTTTTGTACATGTTGGTCAATTTTTTATTGTACACGTATATTTCATTGAAATTTATTCTGTAATTTGTACATTTTGAAAGGTATTTTTTGTTCCAACAAATTGACTTAACAGTGCCATTTTATAATACTAACTTCATCAACAATGTCTCACTAATTAGATTTTGAAAAAATTGAAGTTGCCAGTATTATGATTATTATTAAAAAAATTAACATAAATCAACTAGCTGTATATGAAAGAACTCTGACTATATATCTTTTAGTATTACATGTATTAAGATGTATGAAATAAACATTTAAATCAGAAGTGACAAGAAAATTTTTGCTAAGGAAACTTTTAAAATATATTTAAAAAATATCATTCTCTCATATTACTGACATTCCTAAACAGTATTTTGGAATAGTGGATGTAGTAAGGATCATATTTATTGAAAATACAGGATCTTCTATTTGGTGTCTGAATTACTTTATTTGAGAAACTGCTGTACATTTATATATTTGTTAATGTTGAAATCGTGTGATAATTGAAGTTTTTTTGTGTCTTATTTTGTTGAACATCCAATAAAACTAAATTAACTTGTCCTGGGTATTTTGATGTAATACTGCTCAACATTATTGTGATGTGCTCTTTTTTCTTTAGCCTGTGAGCGCTCAAAGCTTACTATTGAATGTTATTGCAGTACAAGTAGTGTATAAGTATTTTATTCATAAATAATATACAATATATAACATTGCTAGATTCATCCAAAATCTCCTCTTTAGTTGGAGCATCAATATAACATGCTTTAAGAAAAAGTAAAAATATCTCTAAATAAATCTTCATATAAATAAATCCATATCAAAATGATGTAAAATAGGATAACTTTCTTCAGAATATCCTCAATTCTTGTATACATAAATAGCCTGTTGATAAACATTACACTGTTTCACACACTAAGCAAAGACTGGTTGAGAATTAGGTGTAGGATTTAATGGTCGAGATTGTGTGGAATCTGCTCCTGGTATTGCTCATATATAGTGATGGCCCCTAAAGGCTTCCCTATAGGTTGTATTAAATGTAGCTTTCTTGCGTTCTGAATCCAGTTCCCTGTGTTGTGATGTTCGACGACATAATGGTTCTCTTTTAGTTTGTTCACCTAAAATAGGTGATATATATAAAGGAAAATGTGCAATGACTTACATTTTATAAACGACATTTTTATACGCCCACATCTCTCTATGTGGACGTATATTGTCGGCACCCCTGTCCGTCCGTCAACATTTGCTTGTAAACGCCCTCAAAACTAGATTTTTGATGGAATCAAATGAAATTCGGTATGTGTATACATATTCATAAAACGAAGATCAAGTTCGAATTTGAGCTATTATCGACCGTTAGAAGCAGAGTTATTGCCCTTGTTGGTTAGCCGTTATAGAAAATGAAATTCTTTGAGAATTACCAGATTTTGATTGATTGATTGACATTATCATAATCACGTACAATAGACATCCACAATCTGCATGTTATGTGCGGTGATCTTGTACAATGCTCTAAGAGTATACCATACATACCTTTATAATGAGATTGATGGGTAGATGATGTGTTCATTTTATCTGTAGGAGAACGATAGACATTATCTTGTTTTCTACATATTTCAGCTGGTCTAGCGCCTTCCCATGCTTGAAAACTGGCATCATACGTTGATTGCATTGGGTAATTTGAACGACCATTCTGTCTCATTATTACATCCTTGTTTACTGGTGGACGACAAGCTTTTGCTTTTTGAGGTACTCCCGGATTTTGAAAGTCCGCCTGAAAAGTTAAGAGTAATAGATTGTCCCTAGAGTTTTCTCTATTAGCTAACCAAAAAGTTTCCGTATGTCATTTGCCATAGCCTTCAATAATGTTGATTCATGATTTATACTGGAAAATATCTACTTATGCAGACTTATACTTACCGCATATGTGGAACTTGACATCAGCTTTCCAGGAATCTTCTTGTATTCTTTTTCTCGTCCCCAGGTGGGAATAAAACGTTCTTGTACTGGCCAAGCTTTATATGCAGCTGCATGGGTACTTTCACCTTGAAACTTGGAATCTGATTTCATCGAAGAATTTTCAGAAGGACGAAAGCATGGATCCCTTCCCACTGTTCCATGGTTCACATAATCTGCCATATGAGTGGTGATTGCAATAAACGGCACGTTTGTTTGGCTCTTAGTTCTTCTTGGGGCTGAAATAAGACATAGAAGATTTGAAGAATCCTATGTAATTGATGAAATTATATGCTCATTAACAGGGCCTATATCATTACTGAATTGCAATTTGTTTTGGAAATGTAGATCTCAAATGGCAATTATTCGACAAATGGCTTCTGGGTTTGTGTTATCCTTTAGTCTATTGTCTAATTCAACGTACAGAACTATCCAACTGCTTCTGTTGGAAAATATATGTAATCTTGTTTCAAAATTAAATATTCATATACAAACCTTTTGCTACTTCAATAGGTTCTACTTTATATGGAACGTAAGTTTCTGTATAAATAGTACAATCATTAAATACACCGTCAATTTTAATATTACTTCCTCTTGGAATTATTGGTTTTGGTGGTGTAATCGCAGGGTATGGCTTGAAATCTTCCTGAAAGTTTATGAAAGTGAAAGGCATCAAAATGTCTCAGTTAACAGAGTATTCAAAGTGTTTTTTTACTCTTTTTTTTTTCATGAAGGATGCCACTAAGTCTGCAAGTATGCTATGGTCATACTATTAAGTGATACATAATAGAAGTATGCCCCATTTCCTAAATTTTCGTTCACAATGCCCATAGAACTGTACTCTGGAAATCTGTAAAACAGTGAAAAATAAAGGTGGTTCAAAAAAGAATCCCAAGATTAGTATAAGAAAATTTCATCTTTCTGGAGACCGACGAGTGTATAGGATATCTTAATGGACTTTGTTTGAGTAAGTGTATATTTTCATCTGTCAACAAAAAGGGCGTCCCATAAAGTGACATGGAAAGATCTGAAAAGGAATGTATTCAAGATCCTTAAAATAAATTCTTTTTTCTTCTTTTCAACGTCAAAGTTAAGATTCTTTTTGTTTTTTACCTTAAATGTTGAATATACCACATCGCCTTCACCAAGGATTGGTGTATAAAGGTTTCCCGATGGTTTCACAGCCTTAGAACGACTTTTCTGTGCGAGCTCTGGATCGTACGGTGGATAAGATGTTTTGTAAATAGAACTTCCTCCGAAAGTTGCAGATGGTTCCGAAAACTTTTGAACTGGTTTGCACGATTTTACTGAACAATTTTTCCGTTGTTTCTGAAAAGATGAAAAACTTAAGAAATGATTTGAAATGTTACCAGGTAACACACCAACTAGTAAGGCGCAAGTAATGTAAATGTGATATATATTATAATCTTGACATAACGGTAAAGATATTATTAGTATTATTATTTTTATATGTATTCCAGCTTATTTGACTTGGATTTCTGAGGATTTGATGGCTTGTCACAACATTTGTTTGAAGAGCGAACCAAGCTAGTTTATTACCAATGGCAGTGACTATTTACCACGTACTAAATTACTGTGAGCCACAATTGTTATACTGACGCAAGAAAGCTCCTGCACTCTGTAGACCAAAAGCTTACATGGTTTGTGAGAGATTGTTTCTGTTTCACGACAAATGGTTATAATATCGACAATAACAATGGAAATGTAGGTCTGTACCGTAGAATATTCTGGGTAACTTTGAGTATAAATTGTTTTGACTTGGAACTGTGCAGTGGGTTTGACGTTCACTTGTTTAACTTCTTCTTTCTTTGTGATCTAAATAAACTTATAATAATATCTTATCTCTAAGAGAATCTCAAGACACATTGGTTTAATCTATGTTTTATCTAAAAACCGAGGTTCCCAATTTTGTTGTAATACATCGTTATTATTTATTTTACATGACTGTTGAGTAATTGCAATCAGTCCCGTAGCCAGAAGTGAATTGGTGCTGGGGCCTGAATTTTGTGACAAGGTAGGGAGGGCTTAGTTCGACAACACGAAGAGTCATAAGTAAGAAACCACTAGAGGGGGGATGGCGCGGCTCAAACTATGATGAGCACCAAAGGTGTGAAATCGTGAAGGAGTTTAATAATAGCCTAATAAGCGACATTCTCAGCGACCGGAGAGAGGTCCGCCCTCAAGAGGTCTTGGGAATATTGAGAATACTCACAAACAATAACAGTTTACATACCAGTCCGCGACCCCAAGAAAAGTGCTTCGACCTAGAAGTTGGGAACCCATGGATCTTAAATTAGGTTCTTCTATTTGCACAAACTTGTAAAACTGTGAATGCTTTGATTCTATATGACATAGGCCTATTCTACATCTATTGGATTCCAGGTTTTCAAAAGATCATTTAGAATCTAAATGGTCCAAAAGCTACAAGAGAGTCATTGATACACAGAAACAGCTGGGCCCGGAGACCACTTTGGAATTACTTTGATAATATTTTCTAACTTTCGTTTCTTTTTAACTTTTAATTCGAACTGACAAATTGAGTAATTTTAGTTTCTATAAGAAATTTGACGGGGTCGGTATGACCTGAGTATAACAGCCACACCACACCGAAAGTCGTCCCTACTGTGCTGCTACTGCTAAATCGTGTTAAGGTCGCCATAAGCATGGTTTTAACGCGAAGGAAGCGTCAGTACGGTGGGCGCTATTGTCTCCAATAATCGCCGTTGTGATCGCCAAGGAATCGAGAATGCGTCGTACCATCTCCATGAACGCAATACAAGTGAAACGCACCAGGCTCATACACATTATAATTTAAGAAACGTGCATTGGGAACGCAATATATATGGTCGCGACTGTTATAGAATTTGTAATTTCATGGGACCTTTTCTCGCTTTCAGGCTTTTAAAGTCGATATGCAGTAAGGTTATGCTCATTGTTCAGTCATTCAGAAAAATTGTAAAATATATTAAAATACCTGTGTAGGCTGCTTTTCACAAGTCTTGTTATAAGTTTTTGAAGTACTCAAAGCAACAGATTTTTGTGCTGGCCGAGCCGACTTCCTCGTTTTAATAGGCCACGGTTTATAACTCTGCAAAATAAAATGAAAGAAAATATCAAGTGATGTTAAATTGTCACACCTTAGATATTGCGACAAATTGCCCAGTTATAAGAGATCCGCACATGCAGAGCTGAGGGGAGATAACTATCAATGTCACAACGCCAAACTCAAAATGATCTGGAAGGAGGCAAGGCCATGCCATATCGGGAGACAGAAACTTAGCCTAAGCAGTGTGATCTTTTTTCTTTTGTTTTAAATTTGTGTTTTAAATCCACCCAGACCCCTTACTTGAAAAAAATGAGACGAATGTTATCGTAGTAGATGGATGGTTACTTTTCAGACTTGGTCAGACTTACCACTGTATATTCTGACTGATAGGTCTGTGCTAAATCGTGGGCCTGGAAAATCTTAGCTTCCTTAGACGTCCATGGAAACCCGCCGGGAGGATCCTTTCTGAAAATGACACCAAAATATTAAAGTTAGACCTAACATTAACGATAGGCAGGTCGTAATCTTTTCATGGCATTCATCTTAAATCAGTGGTCTAAGATCTAGATTCTCGACGTTTTTCCTGATCTCACCAAACCACCCAAGACTAAAATTAACCTCAAGTCTTTAGTTGAGACTGCTAGGTCTAGTTTTCTGAATTGAAAACAAAATGAAGTATGATAAATAGGTCTACAAAACCAATATTGACCCCTACCTTCTATTGGAGTGATGCCGTTTTGAGTTATCGGTGCAAACACCGTTTTTATCGGCCATCAAACAATGGAATTGGTAGACAAAGGAATTCCCTTTGTCGCCATTTACAGCCGTTGCACAATCATGTCTCCATGACGTTGCCCATTCATGACGTTTTCAGCGTAAAAAACCGCTACTACGCTTTTTGTGTTAACGTCATAAAGGCAAACAAAACCCTAGGCCTACCATGAAGTAATATTTAAAGGGACACTTTGAGCCATTTTTTTGACCGATCATACTTAAGTGTCAGAAACGGACATTCAGTAAAAGGGTCCACAGATCACCATCGAAATTTGAGCCTACAAATCAATGTGTGTGCAGAATTATCCGCGTTTGTTTCGAGACACTAGGCTACCGTTTATATAGAAAAGACATTTATAGAAATAAGATAGAAAGTCCTAGTTTGAGATATTTTTGATTTTCATACATTACTAGTGCTTCTGGTGACTATTTAAATAATTATATTCAAGAGTCAAATCAACCCCCCTGAAATTATATCTAATTTTCGCGGTTGTTTTACGTTTTTATGTTTGTAATGTAGGTCTACACGTAATTTTGGTGTGTGTTTTGATTTACAAAACAAATTGTAAAATGACTATGGGAAAACTTATTGATATAATATATTGAATATAACTAACTTCGATCTTAGACTACATATTTAAAACTATACCAATTACGTTGATCTCGCAACTTTATTAAGATAAAACACGGCCGAGGGTTTTTATGATATTTTCCGTGGTAAAAGGGATTTGAAAATCTTTAAAAAAAAAACAAAACAAGGGGAAGAGTTTTTTTTATCCAGTGACAGGGGTTAACCAACGTTTGCCTTTAGTGGTATATAGAAGAGGTTTTTTTTTGCCAAAGGGGTATAACTCGTGCCTAAAATCTTGGTCAATTCAGTCGGTGACCACTGAGCTAAACTTTCTGTTTGAAACATTGGCTGATACAGTGTCGAATTTTTGTTCCACTGCTACCCAACCAACTACAACCATCGCATGTCTCCATCCCTAGCAATGATCAAGCAGATTGTGCCAAGGAAAGTCTGAGTCTGGAAGATATCGAGCCTGTAGAATACTCCTATTCAGAATTCTGCAGTATCCTATCTTCTAGGATCAACCAGAAATGGACTGGCATGCTACGGAACTTCGATACCACATTGATCCGAGGATACCAAACCAAACCATCCATCTGTAGCTATATGCAAACTGGTAACCAGACTCCGCAATAACAACGTACTACGAGACCATAAGTTCAACGCCATTAAATGTTGCTGCGACCACGTCGCCACAAGGTCGCATGTCCTCATTCAATGCAATGAACGGAAACCCGCTCGTAAGCCACTAACAGAGTACCTGGAAATCAACGGCATACCACTCACCATACAGAATGTTTAGCTCCACCTATGGACCACTGGCATATGATAATGGAACTCGTCTACCAATTTATAACCAAATATGTCTTGAACAGATAGGCTAAGTTTTTACTTTCAAAGTTTCTTAACATTTTTTAACTATATCCCATCTATGTATCACGTTTCACTTCAGAAACATCAGAGAACATCTTTCCCCCCTTTTGTTGAAAGCTTTTCCCCCTTTTTATTTATTTTCTTCTCTTTTCCCCTCATTTCTCACACTCTTTTTTTCTTTTTTTTTTCAGGTTTTCTAGTTTTTCAACAGTTATTAGATAATCTAGCAAAACCAAAACAACGACTTCAATTCGACTACCAATCAACAAGAATTACCATGCATGTTCAGAACGAGTTTGGAAGAATTAAGGAGATCGATTAACTCACGCCACACCATCCAGGGCCGAGTTTCACCGCCATGTCATTCGACCCGACCAGATCTAACAAAGTATCAACAACACAGAATCATCCAATTTGAACCTATCCAACTACACGATGTTCAACAACTACCTAGTTTGCGATATCAGCATCTGGAAGCGAACGTTAACTTGTCATCTATTAGCCTAATCCAGAATTCAATAAAATCAATTGAAAACTGTAGGTTCGCAATTAAATTTTGACCTGCTTTCTTTTGGTCTAGGGATATAACTCAAATTATTCATCAAAAAATCATCTTATATAAACTTGACCGAGATCTCATGAAAATAAATCATAACACCAAATTTCATTAAGATAGCTTGCCAGGCAAAGGCAGTGGCTATTTACCACTGGCGTGGTAAGCGTGGTAAATAGCCATAAGTACCCTTAGGTACATAGGTAAATAGAATTAGTCATGTTTTGATATTCCTTTCGGCAAAAATTGCTTTAAACTACCTAAATATTCAAAATAACGATTTTGAATTCAAAAACTCATCATTTTCATCAAAAATTCACTTTTTGAAAAAAAAATGTCGTGTTTGTTTACAAATAAATGTCAAGGTCGACTTTGAAGAGTTCACGGTTCAAGGCTGAATACTTCTCAATTCAAACCTATCTAAAAAGTTCCGCGTTGTATGAAATCTAGTGTATATTCATTTGTTCTTTCGGCAATAGATCTTTATTACAAATTAGTCAAATTTACTTTTAACCTTGATGAATTGGAAAGCAGGCTTATTACAAGTATATCTATTAAAAATCAATTCAGGACTAATCTTCCCCAAAAGATCGTAAGGGTATTTTGTTTGAGAATAATTTTTGGAAATAAATTCCTGCATTTTATGAAATTTGTCTTCTAATATTACTCCCTTTTTTTTCAAGTAACTATAGTTGCTTATTTAGAGGGTAGTGCTCTCTAAAAGCCAAAAAGGGGACAAAAGTGCCCCTCACCCCGTCAATGAAGTAATGTCTATTTCCACAAATATTGTAATGTTGGGTCCTATCGGTGTTATGGTGATTTGAAAAAAAAAATCCCATAAAAGTGCAGGCTTAGGTAATGAAATTACAATTTTATATTTATCTCAGTACTGTTCAACGCGTTCGACCTTTTTCAATCGCCCCGCGTTCATTCGTCCTGTGTTCGCTCCACAATATTGAGCAAAACGTTTAAATATGTGTTCGTCGAAGTTTGTCACTAATGAATTAAAAAGCTACCTTGTGACTTAAAAAATACTGACTTGTTAGTCTTTCATTCAAACCTTTTTCAATCTGTCTTCAGTAACACACGTTGTTTCTCCAAACAATTCTATATTCCTTAAAGTGTCCAGAATTAACATGAACTTCGAAACAAAGAAATAAATTATGCAAAACCGCAAAAATTCCTGAAAATTCTCAAGTGGAAGCATCGCCCACTTTTCAACTCGATTCATGCAGCATTCAACAATTTTATTGCACCCAGGACAAATATTTTTTTAAAGGGACAGTTACGCCAATTTTTTATTCAATCATACTTTAGTCTCAAAAGGGATTTTTTGGCTAAACCAATCAGTAATAGTGTTCACAGCTCACCCTATAGTAATGATACAGATATTGATAGTGTTTGACTGTATTATGTAGTAGAGGTCAGTAATGATACAAGTATTGCAAGTGCTTGACTGTAGTTTGTAGTAGAGGTCAGTAATGATACATATATTGATAGTGTTTGACTGTAGTATGTAGTAGAGATCAGTAATGATACATATATTGATACTGTTTGACTGTAGTATATAGTAAAGGTCAGTAATGATACAGATATTAATACTGTTTGACTGTAGTATATAGTAGAGTTTAGTAATGATAAAAATTTTGATACTTTTTGGTTGTAGTATGTAGTAGAGGTCAGTAATGATACATACATTGATAGTGTCTGACTGTAATATGTAGTTAAGGTCAGTAATGATACAGATATTGATAGTGTTTGACTGTAAGATGTAGTCAAAGTCAGTAAAAATACAGATATTGGTAGTATTTGACTGTAGTATGTTGTCTAGGTCAGTAATGATATAGATATTGATAGTGTTTGACTGTAGTATGTAGTAGAGTTTAGTAATGATACAGATATTGATGGTGTTTGACTGTAGTATGTTGCCTAGGTCAGTAATGGTGCAGATATTGATAGTGTTTGACTGTAGTATGTAGTCTAGGTCAGTAATGATATAGATATTGACAATGTTTGATTGTAGTATCTTGTTGAGGTGTCTAATAATACCGATATTGATAGTGTTTGACTAGAGTATATAGTAGAGTTTAGTAATGATACAGATATTGATAGTGTGTGACTGTTGTATGTTGTCTAGGTCAGTACTAATGCAGATATTGATATTGTTTTACTATAGTATATAGTAGAGTTTAGTAATGATACAGATATTGATAAGTGTGTAACTGTAGTATGTTGTCTAGGCCAGTACTGATACAGATATTGATAGTGTTTGACTGTACTATGTAGTCGAGGTCAGTAATGGTACAGATATAGACTAATACTACAGTCAAACACTATCAATATATTATGTATTATCACTAATCTACATACTACAGTCATACGCTATCAATATCTGTATCATTACTGACCTAGACTACATATCACAATCCGTCCAAATCTGCTACGAACTGTGAGTTTACCGAACACGCGGTATCGCGGGTCGTGGCAACGGAATGCAGTATAGAGATTTTTCGCTCCAAGCCATTTTGCTTAATCCGTTTACCGGACCGCGTTACGCGGTATGCGTTATGCGAGTCGGTCGCGGCACGCGGTACGCGGTAAAACCGATCGGTCGGAGTAGCGATCTTTCCGCGCGGTATTATATACCGTGGCGGTTTAAGTCCACGTGTAGCAATTATCCGAGCTTTGTTTTATAGTTTCCATGAATTCCTGCGTGTGAAGTTGTGCCCATAAGTCAAAATGCCTTGAGGAAAACAACTTCCGGACGATGTAATCGAACGCTTGGTCGGACTCATCAGGGAACGTCCTTTCATCTACGATGCCAAGGACGACAGTCATATGGATGCACAGAAGATGAGTAATGCCTGGGAGAGCATAGCAAAAACGTGAAAGTGGAAGGACTAGACGGTGAGCTTCATTTTTAAGTTTGGAGCCGGTCGTGGCCGCGTAGCGCACGTCTTCAGCTGTCCCGACATACAAGGCTCGGGCTCATATCAAGCCTCAGTCAGAAAATTGTAATGATTCTATCGCTCACACTGTTAATGGGCCTCGGTGGCCCAGTGATCGTAGGCCTACATCTGCAACAAAGCAGTGATACATTCGCTGGAAATCTCTTGCCTTTCACCATTGTGATGTACTGGTTATAAACACCAATCAAACAAACAAACAATTAATCATGTTTATTATTACAGGAAAGGCATGGCGAGGAAAATGGAAAAACTTGCGAGATGCGAGATAGCTACATGAAGCAACGTAGACTTCTGAAGGAAAAGGAAAGTGGTGACGCAGCTACAAAAGTCCATAAATGGAAGTTCTTTGATATTCTGTGGTTTCTGGAACCATACATAGCTGGAAATGAGTAAGTTCACATAGAATGGTCTAGGCCTATTCTTACAAATAAATTAATAACACAATGTACTTCGGCAGAAGGGAGTGTTGTTGTTCCTGAACCAAGCAATAGAGATGCATGTACTTTCAGGACCCAACAAGTCTTGTTTATATCAATGTTTTTGTTTGAGTCTGCAATACTACAAGATTCTTTCTAAAAGGAAATCATTTGAAACGACAACACACCATTCTTTGTTTTCTTTCCAGGGCCGACACTAATGTTCCCGATATTGAAGAAACGGGCGATAACGATTCGTACACTGGTACACATAGTGTTAATGAAGATAACGGGTACGTATCATCAATTGTTATCAGCATCAAAAGAACCTCTCAACACGTGTTGTCTCTGCCATGGAACCGATTTGTCTCTCATGAAGAAATCCTTGAAGGTATTACGAACAGAAATCGCTTCTTCACTAGCCCTGTTTCCCATACGTGAGAAAGGAGCGAGGCCATCGACGGCGTCCATACCTGCCATTTCTTCCACCAGCTGAGTCAGTTGGGCTGGAGTACTTGTCCTTTGCAACATGTTATGTAGTACACATGCAGCTTTGACGACGGAATTGGCATGGGATGGGTGCAGGGCAATTTTCGTGTGAAAAACCCGCCATCGAGCGGCCAAAATACCAAATGCATTTTCCACTATTCTACGAGCTCGACTTAGTCTATAGTTGAATATTTGCTTTTCCAAAGAGTTATCTCTACCAGGGAAAGGGCGCATTAAGTTTGGAAGTAGAGGGAACGCCTCATCTCCCACAGCAACATATGGTAAAGGACCAAGACCTTCAAAACCCGGTATGACTGAGCTGGATGGAAAATTGAATGTCCCATTAGCGAAACGTTGTCCAATTTTACTTCGGGCAAAGATTCCTCCGTCGCTATTTCTACCCAATGAACCTGTATTAATTGCAATGAACTTAAGATTAGCATCAACAAGGGCTATTAGAACGATAGAGCAAGTCCCTTAATTAAAATATAGAGACCCCGATTTCAAAGGCTTCATCGTAATCACATGTTTTCCATCTAGTGCACCTAAACAGTGTGGGAATTGCCATTTCTCCCAAAAGTTAGCTGCTATCAATCTCCAGTCGTCGCTCGTGCTGGGTACGTTCATCACATCATCTCTATGTTTCCAAATAGCATCACATACTTCTAGTACCAACTTAGATATTGTAGAGACACCGACGCGATAGCTGAAGGCGAGCGATGCATATAATTCCCCAGTTGCTAAATACCTGCAAAAATAACATAGTTATAAGTAGATTGACTACATTATTTTTTTCATAGGTCTGAAGTTAGCTCCATAATTAGTGAACCTATGCCACTGGAAACAGCAGCTTCATCAGTTTCGCCTACCCCAAGCACATCTACTGGAAGAGTCGGTAAAACTCCAAAGAAAAGTGGAAAACGACACTTAGTAGAGGATACTTCTTCAATTGAATCAGCTCTGACTGATTTCATTAATGAAAGCAAAAAGAACCACGAAGATCTTAAAGGAAATACGGAAACTAATCCCGATGAGCTGCTATTTGCAAGTTATGCCAAGCGTATGAAGGAACTACCAAAGTCTTTTTTAACGCCGAAAATCAGGGTGGAATACAGATTCCAGTAACGCCTCTACCACGACGAAATGAACCTACTCCTTTCCAATCAAATGTTCAATATGCTAACAAGCACCTGTCAACGATATCTACCCATTACGAAGACACAGGGCTACGGAGCCAAAGCGAGTGTTCGGGAGCAACGTCCGACCTGCTTTCTGCGGCTATGCACATGTCTTTTCAATAGTAGTAAATATTTGTTTTCTAGCATTCCAGTTAATCAATAACAAGTATTAAAAAATTCCTTTTTATGTTTATTTATTACCTTATGCAAATTGCCAAACGCTGTCTTGGACAAAGGACTTATGTCGATCGATGGTACTTAACAAGATCCTCACGTAGTACAATCAAGAGCTGAGCAAATTCCTCACGTCTGAATCGAAAATCCCAGCTCTTGTACCAGGTTGTAATATGCTCCCTGTTCCCTCCGTCTCTTGAAAATAGGATGAACTGCCCATCTTCGCCTTCTCTAGAACGCTCTTCCTTGCTATCACATAGGCCCCAACGGCGATGATTACATCCCGCTGTATTCGGTTGCATCGTGTTTGAGAAGGAACGGACCAGATGGGCGCCATGCTTATGAAACTTGAGGTGATACCGCCACGTTAACGCCTTTCGATAAATAGAAGTGCGGTATATTTACCGCATTTCGCATACCGCATTCCGTTGCCGCGTCCCGCAATACGCATACCGCGTGTTCGGTAAACGCAGCTTTAAGAGTGTGTTAAAGCTTGAAATAGAACGTTTTTCAAAAAATCAAGGAAATAACTAATTACATATTTTTCAACACTTTTAATGAGGTTTCTAAATGATTATTATGAAGTTTTATGTAAATTTATCTAAATTTATCAATAATTGAGCCTTTTACATTTACTAGCTAAAGAACAAGTTATATTGTAATAGGGTTCATCGTTCGGTGATAATAAACAATTTCACCAAATTTCGTCGAAATCGTTAAGAATTGTGCCTTCTCGAGTATTTACAAGCTACAGACTGAACGCGTTTCGAAAGACAATGCCTCATAACAATCAAAACATTGTTAATCTTATGATTTTTCATTCATAATAATCACTCATATGATAATATACTAATCAAATAAGCAATTAGATGCTCAGTAGTTGCTTGTTTTCCTTGCACCAATAGTCCAAATATAGGAACAGTGTCGACAAATCCTACGCATACCGCCGCATTGAGTCTATTTCTAGCTTCAGTTTTGATGACTAAAGTGTCGAGATTCGCTTGGGTTCGTCGTGTTGAAGGGCACCAGAAATCCTGAAACTCTATATTTCTTCTCCTACAATAGTTAGTCGCACCTTAGGCCTACACCTCGGTGGATGAAAAGAAACCCAGACTGGGAACCAGGAATATACAGTATTATAGCTTGGAATTTAAAAATTCAATAAAAGTCTGTCAAAAGTATAGCTTTTGTAATTATAAACGAATTGCTGACGTATTCCTTATGGTTCACGTCATATAGCGATTGTAGAAATGTTTGGACTGTGAAATTTAGCGTCCAAAATGCCCGAAAACCGCAGTCACCGATATTAAATATGGCGGATATTTTCCTTCGCTAGGGATATTAAAATGCTTAGTTTAGTGTGCTAACAATGTGAAATGTGCACAATATTTATATTTTTGAAACCTAAAAGTGTGATTTTTTAAAATATTGAAAAAAAAATTGGATGATGACAAACACTCACACCAAGTTTCATCAATATCCTTCAATAATTGCGCCTTCTAGAATGTTTACGAGCGTTTCCAGAACAAGGGCAATAACTCATACTAAATATTTTTCTATTTTTCTCATTTTCGATAGGGTTCATCATTTGGTGATTACAAACAGCCATACCAAGTTTCGTCGAAATCAGTCGAAAATTGTGAATTGTAAAGTGTTTACGAGCAATTGTGGACTGACCGACGGGCGGACATGGGTGACCCCCCATTTCATGCGGGCGTATGAAAATTGAATGAAAACTGTAGACTCTATTGCGCTCACGAACAAATTTTTGCGCGTTTTTACCAAGTCGAGGGCAATAATTCGAAAACGTTCACCAAAAATTTGTCAAATTTAAATCAGTCCAAGATCTCATCAATTTAAATCATCACACCAAATTTCATTCAAATCGGATGAAAACTATAGTGTCTATTGCTCTCACGGGCAATTTTGACGCGTTTTCACTAAGTCAAGGGCAATAACTCAAAAACCGTTCATCAAAAATTTTTCAAATTCGTATTTGACCGAGATCTTTAATGAATATATATCACCACACCAAATTTCATTAAAATCTCACGAACAAATTCGCAGCCACTTCCGCATTTACGAAAATAACTCAAGGGAAATAACTCTATTTTACACATTATTTAGAGGGGGCGCGCGCATATTTTGAGCGGAGGTATTTCACTGGAGCACGCGGTGCCTTGAAAACAGACTATTTTGTATGGCCTAACAAAACCATTATCTCATCTACAGAAGTATACAAATTTTTATCTAAAGCTCCATGCAGCCTCAATCAAATCAATTAAAGGGACACCCCGCTTTTTTGTAGGTCGAAATTTTTTTTCTATACAAATTTATGAAAACTATACACCAATTCCAGAGAAATGTGCTTTTTAACGTATCTGAAAGTTTTAAGTAAAATAATCCAGTGTTTAATTTCTAAATGCCAAAAATATTAAAAAACATTACTATACTTTTTGGAACCTGAACAAATTTGAGAAAGCTAAATTCCTACTTTTAAGGTTTCAATTAATAATATTAAGCCTCCAAACACCAAAACTAGGTCAAACTGCTTAATTAACAATTACCAGTAGTACTCTCAGTTTTTAATTAAACTTTTTAAAACAAATTCAGTGTGTCCAAGAAGATCCATAGGTATAAATAGCATACCTAAGAAATATTTTCAGGTATAATTTACGATTTTTTTGATAATGAAAACTTTTTACAAAAAAGCAGAATACCCCTCGAAATGGGTTGCAAGACTTGACAAATTTTCAAGGGACAAGGGTGACAACAATATATTATTATGTTCACCATTTTTGTTCAAAATGATGGCATATAAAAACTTGAAATTAGTTGTTGAATTTCTTTTATTATAACAATGAAATAACATACAATATATTTATTCCTTTATTTATTTATTTAAGTAAACAACAATAATATACAATAAGTTCTTCTCTGTCTAGATCATTAAATGGAAACTCCAGTACAATTAAATGGTGAAGCAAGCAGTTTACAAAAATCCTAGCCAGTTTACAAAACTCACAAATAGAGTAAATTTGTCATTGACAAACAAAATCAGATAACAATGCAGTTACAATCATAAACAATGACCTATTTTCAGAATAACAGAATAAGGGGCAAGTTTCATTAGTACCCATAATAAATAACACATCCCATCCCCTACTCCCCAACAAAAAAATTAATTGCACACTGCACCTTAATCAAAATAACAGCCTGTAAAGTGAACATGAGTTGGTACTTACAAGATACAACCTAATAGGCTGCATGCACTAGTCGGCATCATCTTTTTCTTGAAATAAACCAAGACTGAATCGGTCAGAAAATCTGGCAACAACATAAAGGTCTACACTATTATTGACACATTCAAGCTTGTTACAGCTTCATGATATAAATAGACTTTAAGTAGTATTGTTGCATGTATATAAAGTAAGAGATTATATTATTTTTGGCTAGTGTTTTACCAAGACATCCAACTCACAAAGACAACATTTGACACCAAGTGTACATAAAAGGATAAAAATACCTCTTGGAATTAGCATAAAAATTTAAAGTCTCAAACTTGGTCAACAAGTATATATATTCATCAGTTTGACTTACCAGGTGCCATGATTATAGAAAAATACCTTTTTATATAAAACAAAATATCCATTAAACTAAACTAATTTTAAGCATATTTAAAAAATTACTTATTTTAATGAATTATTACTTAGTTTTATGAATTTATTGGATTATAGAGGGAGACTGTTGTATAGTTTTGACAACAGGTAAATCCACTGATGAACAATGTCTCATTTTAACCAAGTTTCAAAATTTCAATTTTTGTTCATCCAAATGGGTGGTAAACCTTTAATATAACATGATTCATATAACAAGAAAATCGCAAACTGTTTAGGAAAATAAAATTTCTACTTCTTTCATGAGTTGTTCCCCTTTACTCCCAGCTAAACGACAATAATATTCTGCAGCTTTACGATGACCTAGATTTGTCAAAAACCTTGCATATTCTAGATATACAGCTTCCAATAATGATCCTGAAAATAAATATAGACTGTCACTTCATCGTTTTTGACTCATTGATCTTGTAAATTAGATCCAGGGCCTGGTTAAACAAAAAGTCATTAGTATGGTATTTCTCAATGTAAAATTCTACACTTATGACAAATTCTTATAAGATTTTTGTGGAACACGGTCCAGGGTTCAAATGACTAATTTTACTACCCTTAAAATGTGTATTCCTTTCATTTCCTTTCAGGGACATATCTTGAAAGTATTATGAGCAACCAACCTGTTTCTTCTGTTTTATTTAATAAATTAAACTGTTGACAAGATTCAATAAAACACACAGCTCTATCAAAACATCTCATTCCATATAACATTTCTATAACCTTATAGAACTGACCTAATGATAATAATACCAAGACAGCTTTACTCTGTAATAACAATAGACATTTACATTCTAGATGATGCTACTTATAAAATTGAAATTCTGGTAGCAGTAGAGGCCTGTATTTCTATTAGGTTGCAGAACATAATCTGCTAAAAGTTTAACGGGTCCAAAATTTAACAGTTACTACTTTCTCTGAATAATTGATAATTTCTCTCAAATTAGCTAAGGATCATTAGTGCAGGACCTATTATGAAAGGAGTTTGATTGTCTCATCCAAAATCTTTATACACACTGTTGCTATACCTTAACACAACTGAACAGAAGGAACTTAATCATGGGCACTAGCAAACAGAAGTGTTTCAACTGACCTTAAGATTAACCTGTGTACTACACAGATGATCTGCATAACGTTTTAATAACTCACTTCTTTCATGATGATCCAATGTGGCCTGAAGAAATATCAAGTATAACAATGATAAAAATCATGTTTATTTACTAACTCAGAAGACAAAAGATAATTGTTATTAAATTGAACATATGCTCTGCACGTATTAAATAAGTTAAATACTAACCTTTGCTAACCATACAGATTTATCCCAGGCCCCATAGGTTTGTAAATATCTACAGGCATCTAAACTTTTATCAATCAAACATAACAATTGTATACCCTCTAAAATATAGAATATCAATAATCTTTATTGTCAAATTGTATTAGTTTATGTGTGAACAACTTTTATAGGTTATGTTGTGCTTAATATGTTACATGAAACAGCTACTGTATATGAAAAAGCTGCCATTGGTGATGTTATATGAAACTGTTGCTTCATGTCATGCGAAATAGCTGCAATAGGTGATTTATATGTTAAATAAGTGATGTTTGCTATATCTGGTAAGTAAAACAGTTGCTGCTACTACTGTTGCTGTTGCTACTGACGTTATTGTGCTGATGCTGATATTGTATACAACTGCTATAAACTATTATAATAATGTTATGTAAAACAGTGGAAACACCTGAAATCACTATGTACTCTCTACTGAACAATACTATCAGTTAAAATGTTGTGCTACTAATCAGCTGCTAAAATATACTCCTTTAAGTTCAACAATATTATATCAATGTCAATTGTAATTTTCATCTTGACAGTCAATTCAACTAGAAACTTACCTGACAGTTTTCCATTAGCTATCAAATTTGTAGCTACTAGTTTGATAGTACTCTGTGATGCACCGGATGATCTTATACTAGCCACCAAACAGGCCCTACAAAAAAAAAATAAGAATTTTACAATTTATTATCATCACAAATATGCATCACTTTGTGAAAGATTGTGATACAATCTTTTGGCCCCAAGGAATTTTTTCAACTTATAATTGTATCAACTGTCATACTTTATCATACCTTAATGAATCTACATAATAAGAAGAATTCTCAGCATCTGTTTCTAAAAGTAACTGTACAGCCCTATCTGTCTGTCCCAATAATATATAATTCTCAGCACATTTCTCTGTGTGTTCATTGGTAGCTCTTTTATTATCATGCAAGACCACTCGATCTAATTGGTACTTCTGGAAAAAAAATTTGTAAACTTTCTCAAATATAATACTCATATGAATACGCCTTCATTGTTATTTCAATGTCATTTCATTGTCCAGAAATATTAAAATCAAAACAGATTTTTGTTTTTGTTTTTGTTCTAGCAAGATGTGTATAATACCTAACTTTGAATGTATCATAATCTGCAGTTTGCCATTGATTCAAATTAACATGTGAAAATTCTGCATTCATCAACCAATGAACAAAAAAAAATCTACAGTCAATCCTTAAATAAGTGTATCATAACTTACTTTAAATGTATCACAATCTATAGGAATAGGTGTATACTTTAAATGTATCACAATTAATAAGTGTATCATAACTTTCTCTAAATGTATCGCAATCATTAAGTGTATCATGTCTTACTTTAAATGTATCACCATCTATAAGTGTATCATAACTTACTTTAAATGTATCGCAATCAATAAGTGTATCATAACTTTCTCTAAATGTATCGCAATCATTAAGTGTATCATATCTTACTTTAAATGTATCACCATCTATAAGTGTATCATAACTTACTTTAAATGTATCCCAATCTAAAAGTGCATCATAACTTACATTAAATGTATCGCAATCAATAAGTGTATCATATCTTACTTTAAATGTATCACAATCTATAAGTGTATCATAACTTACTTTAAATGTATCACCATCTATAAGTGTATCATAACTTACTTTAAATGTATCGCAATCTAAAGGTGTATCATAACTTTCTCTAAATGTATCGCAATCTATAAGTGTATCATAACTTTCTCTAAATGTATCGCAATCAATAAGTGTATCATAACTTACTTTAAAGGTATCACAATCAATAAGTGTATTATAACTTACTTTAAAGGTATCACAATCAATTAGTGTATTATAACTTACTTTAAAGGTATCACAATCAATAAGTGTATCATAACTTACTTTAAAGGTATCACAATCAATAAGTGTATTATAACTTACTTTAAAGGTATCACAATCAATTAGTGTATTATAACTTACTTTAAAGGTATCACAATCAATAAGTGTATCATAACTTACTTTAAATGTATCACAATCTATAAGTGTATCGTAGCATCTTTCTAAGGGTTGATCTTTATAGAGTTCATGTAAAACTTTCTGTTCATTTTCATCATTGATATCTTCTAACATAACTAAATCACTACTCTCTTTATAACTTGGTGTAGAGGGTCGAAAGATATCTCCTAAATCATTGTGAGAAGTCACACGACTTGGCATCTAAAAAATACAAAGATATTGATTAGAGTTTAAAATCTTATTTATATTACTAGAGGTGATGATTTTCCACTTCCAGGAATTAGTGAATTTCATTTCAAAATTTACCGCCATTTTTTTTTTGTTGCAATAAATTATCTTTTTTTGGATTTCCACTCTCCCAGTATCAATCAATCAGAAAGCTGAATATTCAGGATTATCAGTAAATCTTAACAAAATCACATTCTGTATGGCTGATAGGCCAAGGTTACTGGAAGATCACTTGTCTTATTTTCTAGAATCAACCCTATTTTACAAATTTGTATAATAGTAAAGGGAAGTTGTGAGCATGTGAAAGTTTGGTAACCTTGAATTAACTTACAATCTGCAATTTACAAAATTACAATTTGCAACCCTTAAAAAATATGGATGTTTCTTAGCAAGAGACAAATAGTTCAGATAACCAATATTAGTATTACCTTATTCATAGGTTGATATTTTCCCGCTTTAAGATAATACATGGCTACAGTCCAGAAATGAAGATCTGATTCATCTCCAAATAATCTAGCTGTTATCAAACATCTTTCAGCTATACCAAACTGACACTGTGGAAGATAGTTAGCTATGGATCTATCAAAAAAAAAAGGACTTATAATTTTTTGTTGAATTTTGCAAACTATTATCAACTTTGAAGATACTGTAAAGAAAATGTTATGCTTTTTTTAAAAGCTGAATGATGTTTGTTGAATACAACTCCTCAATATTCCATTACAGTATTACCAATAAAGATTCATTTCAATCAAAGATGACTTTGCTGGTGGACAAAATTGTTTTTTAAGTTATTATTCGATAAATTAGGCCCTTTCCATAGCTCACATGACTTTTAATGATTGTACGTATAATATAATCTTGACCCAAGTACTAGATTAATGATCTTGAAACAAACATTTTTTTCAGTTGAAATGTTATGAAATGAAATTAAACAATACCTGTCAATAAGTTGAATTTGATTATTGATAATATTAGCCATTTCTACATCCTCTTCTCTCATTAATGGTGCTATCAGTCTATACTTCTCTTCCCATGGTTGATGTTGAAGCAGACATTTTAATAGTTGAGAAGCTTTAGAAGATAGTAAATGTGGACAAAAGACAGGTTCTGTAAAATTTACAACAAATCTATTGTCAATATGTCTCTAGATTATCTTGGAAGTTGGCATGCCTCACGAGAGGTTATCACAGAATACAAGAAGCCCACAGAAATAAAAGAACAGAAGAGTGTTGAGAATAAATATCTAATCTATGGTATAATGATAACTCAGCAAGCATCTTGTTAGCCATTGAAAAATGAAATTCATTCAGACATTTGTTCCAATCAGAGGCTATTAACGTTCACTATTATGCAAGGACAAACCTTTACAGTTGAGAAATATTTACCTGATAAATCCCAGTTATCTATACTAGTTTGAGATTTATGTAATGTTAAATCTGATATATGTAGTTCACCATTAGTAGTAATAAACATTGGTCTATCAGAACCAGCCCATTCACAATCACTTATCTTAGATATCTCTTTTGGACTTTTAATGTAATGTAATGCTTCAGTCTAAAATGGGAATCATCAATCATGCAATATTGTTTCAATTGGAACTAAACTATTTCTTATTTCTTTATAATCCAGGTAGTTTTAAAGTCCATTCAAGGCTAATTGGACAACTTGAATCATTGATTGACTGAATCTATTCAATTCAATAATTTCATCCTATAATGCTATATACTTACTTTACTGTCTTTACTAAAATCCCAAACAACTATTCCGTCATTATGAAGAGTGAAGAACTTGTAGTTTTCTCTTCCTGGAGCAAACCGTATTTTCCTTATCCAACCTCTATTGGTGGGTACAGTCCTATATTCAAAATAAAAACTTTTTTTTTGCTCTATGTCTTTTAGAAAAGAGATCATGTAAATCTCTGTGATTTCACAATTTATAAGACCTTTATAATCTATTATTCATCTGTAAGAAGAAAAGAATAGGCTTTACCTGGAAATTTTACTCTTTAAATCCCAGCAACACAAAATACCATCAACATCACCAAACATAAGATAATCATGTTTCCACGCTAGACAAGTTATAGTACCTAATCCACTCTACAATATAAAATACCATCAACATCACCAAATATAAGTTAATCATGTTTCCACCCTAGGTTATAGTACCTAATTATTAAATTTGATGAGTTTTTACTAAGTCAAGGGCAATAATTCATCCGAATAATACCAATTTCTAACTTGACCGAGCTCTCATCAATATATACATGCATACCAAGTTTCATCAAGATCAGATAAAAACTGTAGTCTCTATTGTGCATACAAGAAATGTGGACGGACAGGGGCGACAGCAATATACGTCCACATTTCCATGTAGGCATATAAAAAATGATTACCTCAGGCGGTATTTTAGTAACATCACTGATACTACTGCCCTCTACTATAAAATGAAACACTGTACCATCTTTATCTGTCATCACAAAATGTTCACGTATTGATCCTTTAGAGCCACTCTTCTTTTCCCTAAACATAAACATATAGTAAAAAGTTCAATTCATTGTTATCAAGTTATCAAGCTCATTTTGATTCGTATGTCTACTAAGTTAAAAGTTCATTAAAACATTTTGAACCTAATATGTGATATCTTTGCATCTTTCATCTGAAAGAATAGAAATTGTATTTCATCACTATTTAGCTATGTAGAGAGCAATGACAAAATTCACAGAGAACACCTTGAACATTAAACATGTTCAGGATGCAATTATTCTATACAAAATCTGTCTGTTTGATTCCTCTTTCACAAACAGCACTATTATAAGCATTGCCATGGAAGCATCCCTATTGAATAGTCCATATTTTGGTCTGGTTTTTATGACATAATTATGCATACTTTAAAGATGTATTTGAATCTGATTGACTCATATGAGATGATGATGTCATAACATCTACAGGAGATTTAGGTGATTTATCTTCATCACCGTGATCTAGTAACTTTTTCTTCATAGTTTTACTGCTGTGAGATGGTGACCAAATCTAAAAATGAAGATAAATATTAATGGCAATAAGCTGTTTTTTTTAAAAGAGAGATTTTTATTAGCTTGTATGGTAAATATGAAGTTAAGTAGATATCTGATATGTAGAAAAATAACATAAGTTCAAACATTTGAACATTACACTTTCAGTAAAGAAGTAATATGAAATATTTCTATTGTTTGTTAATAGAAAATTAAAAAATTTAAAACTCACAGTAGAAGTTGGTCTTGGGAAGCTTTTAGGTAGTTCTCTTATGATTGTCAAAGATTTCAAATCCCATAATTCCAATGGTTTGTCTTTAAATGCCAATACAAAATATTGTCTGAAAACAAATTGGTATTGTTATTATGGATCTAGACAAAGCCCTTTCTGTTGTTTTCGGGTATGTTGGAGTTCTCTTGATATAGAAAGAACTGGTAGTTCACATGACATAATATAAAAAAAACTATGATAGTCTAACTAGAAAAAATTGAATAAACTTGAAATCAATGTATACATTAACGTCTTACTTGAGATTAGAAACCTGTAAACTGATAATAGGTGATTCATCATCAGTACTTGTCCTCACTGCTGTTGATTTACCTAATAAAAAATAATAAGATCTATAATAAGTAATACATTGTAGATATAAAACTGTTATTATTAACAGATAAACTAACATAAAAATCTCAACAATTTCAACAAAGAAATAATAAGACTTTCAAAGAAAGTTTTACTTAAATAACATTTCAACAGACAGCAATCTTATACAAACTGATAAATAGCAGTCTACCACTATCCTAGAGACCTCATGTTTAAGGATTATCCTCCTGGTGACATAGAGATATTTAAATGATATTTATAAAAAGATATATTTCCATATCGTTCTAAAATTGATGTATTGAGCACTATCTTAACAGTGAAAATATTTTATTATTGGGTCTGTATTCCTGTAAATTATCTTGAGAATAAATTATAATGGTTTTTAATTAATAATAAATAATATCACAAATTGTTTTGACTGAAGATGAAAAGAACATAGCATAAAATAGACTAAATGTACTCACCTGACAAAATATCTAATAAAAATATCTCATTTTTAACCAAACCACTAACACCTGGATTATGGTGAGAATATGATAGGAATGTCTTTAAACTTGTCCATTCTAATCCTCTGCAAAATAGAAAGGAAATTACAGTGTGACTATGCACCGTTTTACTTAGTATATTTTGAAATATTTACATTAGCTATCATTTTTTCCATTGGACTAATACAAATTCATGTGGCATTTATATCACCATAAGCGTCATTGCCTCATCACCAAAACATTAGGCGTAGTAATTTTAACCAATGATGTTGTTATTCATTGACGTCAATGTATCAAACAGACAGTCTCCAATGTAAACAATCATGTCGGTAGTCCCAAACGTTGAAACGTTAAGAAATAGGCCCTACTTAAATTCATATTAAAGTCTTTGTATCACAATTAGAATGTTTTGAAAACGTAAATATAAGCAATAAACTGTTACCCTGTCATAAATGCACTAACACCAAGCTTTGTCCTGATATACGACAATAACAGCCATAGGGTAACAGTTTATTGCTTAAATAACTTATACATGTATTATGTTCTAAAGGTTGAATTCAATGAATGTTATGGTAAACTACTTTGGGAGATAGGATAATTAATTTTCATGAAGCTTGTGTAAAATGTAGAATAGCAACTTTCAACTAATGTCATTTAATTTGATGTGTAATTCAAATCCTTAAAATTTCATTTTAATTTTAATACATTACAGGATTCGTCAGTGCTGAGAAACAAAAAATATAATAACCAAACAAAGGAATTATCAATCTTTCAAATAATAAATGTCACATAGAGATAATGATTGGCTATGCGACCAGTTATCCCTGATTATCAGTGACTAGTTTCATTTGTGTTTGAACCCTTCAGACTGATTAAACTCACCTTGCGGGGTTCTATTTATACTGTCCATGGACCCCGGTGGAAGGTTACAGCGGTTTGGGTTTGACCGGGGTTCATAAGTATCGGGGTTACAGGGGTGGATTTTTACCGGGGTTCGTAAGTATCAGGGTTACTGGGGTTCGTAAGTATCGGGGTTATCGGGGTTCGTAAGTATCGGGGTTACCGGGGTTCGTAAGTATCGGGGTTGCCTGGGTTCGTAAGTATCGGGGTTACTGGGGTTCGTAAGTATCGTGGTTGCCGGTGTTCGTAAGTAACAGGGTTACTGGGGTTCGTAAGTATCAGGGTTACCGGGGTTCATAAGTATCGGGGTTGCCGGGGTTCTTAAGTATCTGGGTTACTGGGGTTCGTAAGTATCTGGGTTGCCGGGATTCGTAAGTATCGGGGTTACCGGGGTTGATCAGTGCCGGGATTGGTTTGTTCCAAGGTAGGAGTGTTTAAGACTTCACCAGACTGTCTGGGTTAAGAGAAGCTGGTAGAAATAAGAGTAAAGGTAACTTTGACGTTGGATGCATGATTATGACGTAAAGGTGTACTGACATGTGCAGGGTGGTGAGGGTACCGTCCAACACTGAACAGTAAAAGGAGATGTACGAGCTTACATCGTTTGGGAAGTGAGAGGGTGGGGAGGCTATAGGAGAAATCTAAAGTTGGAGCACCCAGTGGGAGAAATTGTATAACAAAGAAAGAAGTGAGGGTGTCCAAGTTATAAATGTCATCAATTATACCATACATAACATGTAAGATAAACACCCTGGTATAAAATAAGTTATAAATAGAACAATAGTTGTTAAATCATACCTTACAGTAGATGTATGTAGATTATATTCTCTATCTATCTGTCCACTAGCAACATTTATTATCTGTAAAGTACCAGTTGATGATCCTACAATACACAATATTACAATATTAATCAGGATAGGTTAACAATTATATTTTGTTTTCAAACAATTTTTAAAAGATACACAATTCTAACAAACTGCAATTCATGATTCTGATCCTCATCAAGAAAGCTGTTTAGAAAATGGAACTTTACAATATAAGGACTTGAAGAGTGGGGTAAGAGAGCTCACTCAACTGGAGCTAAAATCACATGAAATGCAAGACAAATGAATAAATCAAATCTGATAAAAAGATGACAAGACTAAGATAAAGCTTACCTACAACTACTAGAGGTTGATATGTGGCAAAGTTTTTATTGGTTAATGGTGGACACATACGAATACAAGTTACATGACTAGTTACACCATTAATTAATCCTGTCATTAAAAACTTCAATTGTACAGTATGACCACGAGAACTGAAAGTATAAAACAGATATATAAATAACTGATATAACAAACATGGCCTTAAAATCACAACATATCACAAAAAAGATAGAGCAAACTCCAACAACATATTATGTACTTAATCTTGATAGACACTAAAAATCCTTAAGGCCATTGAATTGAAAACAAATGACTGAATTGTTTCACTGAAAATTACTTTGATGTACAAATATTGGTTACCAGTTCAGATTTTCTTTACCTTGAATCATTAAAAGCAGGTAGTTGTGATTGACTAATCATATCAGCCAATGAAACTTTAGGATATTCTACACTGCTGAATACAGGAAATTGAATATTGTCAGAAGGTATACCAAGTTTATCAGATGGAAGTTTGGCACCAGGTGTATGTAATGGAGATGATGGAAATAAATTCAAACTGCTTGAAGTAGGCATCTAAAAGAGATATAATTAAACTGAAAACTGAAAAAACCATCAATAAGACACGTTGTCTGAGTGAATACTTCTATTATACCAAACAGACTTGTAACTTCTATAGCCTTATGTGTGATTATACAGTCAAGTAACCTAATTTCGTGGAAACCTATTATTCGTGGATTTCCGGATATGTTTAATAATTTACATGAGCGACCTTGCACGACCTCCGCATTGGTTTGTTTTGATAAACATGGGTTTTCTCTACAATATCAGCTAGTAGAATGAATTCAGTAGTTTCAAGCAAGGTAAATATATTAATGTATACTTTGACAAATACAAAATGGCGGATTTCAGTTATTACTAAATGTCACCATTTTTTATTGGCCGAATTTCCTTATAATCCCAAGCGGTAATCGGAATTCCAAGTGTCGTCTGCTAGAATGTAGTCCAACGAATAAGTCACGTGATCAACTAGCGGATTCCGTGTCAGCAGAAAATTTCTATGGAACACAAAGTGGACCATATTCTTATGTTGTTTCAGTGACTTTTAGCAATAAATCACGCTACGTATCTTATTTTGTCAGTTACGATATTTTTTTTAAATCGTGGTTCTTTGAAGGAATTGTCACTAGTTATAATGAATTGATATTAAAGATAAATACTAAGAGAAGTTAATTATACCACCCGGTATCCACGTGTTTATCTAGTCATATTTTTAGATCAAACATTGTACATGAAAATAGGTGACGCATTCTGCCGCCGTTGCCGAGTTGGTTGCTCATGAAATATGGGTCAAAGTGAAGGATTCATAAAGGAAATCGAGATAAACCAATTTGAATTATTTTGTAGAATATCTGAGGAAACATCTAAGACATAAAAAAAAATTTGTTTTTTTAACTTTGACGAAATTCGGTGTTGAATCCTTATATCCACAAAAATAGGTTACACCGCTGTAGGTACAGTTTTTTTATCAACCAATATGCAACACCAGTACATGAGATATCATGACATCACATGGTTTATACAAAGGCAAACAAGTAAAATGTCTGACATACAAGAAGAAGATTGAATGATCAATTTTCACACTCTCTCTAACAAGAATTAAACAGAATCAAAACCTCAAGATAATTTTTAAGTGAATGATTAATATTACCTTAACACTGTGTAACTTCATCTCCCAGAAAATAACACGACTGTCACTCATCACCAAGGCGACCGAAGATTCTGACACAGGACAAACCATGATACCAAAAACTTTCTGATGCCTGGTAATACGTAATGGATCTGATTGGCATCGTAGTTCATAAGCTACGTCTAATGATACAGAAGGTGGGGAATCGTCTGAAATATAAAATTCACATCTTTTATAGAATTTTTCCAAAACTATTTTATCACCAAATTCTTTATATTGATAACAATACAGATACTTCCATATCCTATCACATTTACCAGCTTTCGTCCACAGGACTCATAATATGAGTCTCATATATACTATGATCTTTATGATATAACACAGGCCTGTGCAACCTATGGCCTGCGAGCAAATGCTTCGTTTGCTCTTGCACTGTCGGTGTGGCCCGCAGATTGTCGCTGCTTATTCTGATATCGAAAACTGTTATATCAAAGTATGACGCCGAAATGAATCTAACCAATCAACTCGTTAACGAGGTCTGTTTTTTTGCAATGCATATTGAAATACGTTATTGAGTCAATGACTTCAAATAATTGCATATTTCTCATTGTTAATTCCATGATTCATTGATGGTTGGTTACGTGGCCCACGGCCTACTCGCATCCCCCAAATGTGGCCCGCCGTTGCAGAAAGGTTGGACTGGCCTGATATACCACATTCAAACACCACATTCAAACACCATATCCTCATATATTCCAAAATTTCTTGAGCTGGCTTGTTTCAAAACAAAATGGAAAGAATAAACTGTAAAGTCAACATAATCTTACCAAAAGCACCACTACCCTCCATGGCTGGTGTACACATTACATTAGTCTTTCTTCTTACCCTAGCAGATATTCCACCATTTTCATGTAAACATAAAATAACGTCTCTTTGCCAACAAGGAATGATCTAAACAAAAAGATGACTTCAAGCATCGAGTAAGTCTTTAAACTAATTACTGGGGATAAAAATACTGAGAGGCCACCGCTAGGCCAAACTGTAGTTAACTTGAGGCGTAAAATTCTCACATCTCACACGAGTGGAACGTGAAGCGTTAAACTTACTTAAGAAAGACGATTGCATTGTTATTAAAAAGAGTGACAAAGGTTCATGTTGTGTCATTCTGAATAGGGAGGATTATGTTTCAGAAGCAGAGAATCAACTGAATAATCCTAAACATTATGCCATTTTACCGAAACCAATTTTCAAAGAAACTGCTAACATGATTAACAATATTCTTGCCGATTTAGTCAAAACTAGTTATCTCAAACAGAAACAATATGACTATCTGTCTGCCAAACCTGATTGTCGCGAGAGACATTTGTACACATTGCCTAAAATCCATAAGAACCCAACCAAGGAGTGGTTTATCTCGAATAAAATCCCTAAAGGCCGCCCGATTATATCTGACTGTGGTAGTGAGTCATATGCAGTGTCAGAATACATTGATCATTTCTTACTACCTCTAGCGTGTCAACATCGCGCCTACCTTAAAGACACAACCGATTTTGTCAATAAAATAAAAAATCTTCGAGTTCCCTCTAATGCTATTTTAATTTCTATCGACGTTTCTTCTATGTATACCAATATCGATAACACTACTGGTGTAACGGCAGTTCGTAAAGCTTTTAATAGAAACCAAGATCCAAACAGACCCGACGATGCAATTCTACAGCTTTTAGAGATTTGTCTTAGTCGAAACGATTTCACATTTAATGGTAAAACATATTTACAAACTTCAGGGACAGCAATGGGCAAACGATTCGCCCCTTCGTACGCGAACCTTTTCATGGCAGAGTGGGAACGTGAGGTGTTGCCCCTCTGTCCATTTGACCCACTTTTTTACGGACGCTTTTTGGATGACATTTTTATGGTTTGGACTTATTCTATCGAACAGTTTTGGGAATTCTTTGAAATTCTCAACAACCACCATCCTTCTATCAAACTAACTGCAAACGTGAGTGACAAAAGCATAGACTTTCTCGATACCACAGTCTTTAAGGGAGATTCCATAGCAGAAACAAATAAACTGGATATTAAAGTGTATTTCAAAGAAACTGATACTCATCAACTCTTGCAC